AAGTTTGGGTCCGTTATATATTATCGTATTATCATCAAAGTGGAAAAGTTGGAGTACAAATATTCCTCGATATTTTTTCCATTATTCACCCCCAGTGTCGCGGTATCCAATTAACTGTCAAATCTTATCGTGTTAAGCTATATCTTTGGTATGACTTTTCTCGTAATGTTTTTATTCCATTATCTGAGCGCAAGCAGATCATAAAGATTTCTTTTAATCAAAGTAAAGTGCGCTCAATTGGGACTAATAAATTCCCAGCTAGGTAGACCCGCAATGCCCAGATATTTGAAATATTTTCGCTTTTTACTGAATTTAATAAGGAAATCTCTAGTTAAGGTTGCGCTGCGTGTGGTTATTGCGGCGATTATGATGTGGGGGTGTGTTCGGCGCCAATTCTTTACTGGAATCGGACTATTTTTATTGTGTCCCTTGTCATATTTATAGCTCTACAAGCTGTCAATCAAAAATATTTGGGGCCCGAACATGTATTCATGGACCCAGGCCCCGATCGATCGATCTATAATGCACTCGACTTGCGATTTGTGGCTGTATATAAATACTTCGGACCTTAACGTGAACCATATCTGGAATGTTGTGTTATGGAAATCTATGGGTTCGTAAATCGATTTGGCAGTCAAAATACATCGTGGGTGACATAACTGCGATAAGGTGGTACGATAAGCCCAATTGCCGATACCAAAATACCCCCGTGGGATCCAATATCGCTGCTCGAACTTTCACGGTGATAAGGATATGCGATAAAAGCACCCCCCACATGCCAAACATCACCTTTCTTCTGTCTGCCAGATTGTCTGACCACATAAACAATTTGACCGATGGTTATAGCCATCCAATACTTTTTTGTCCATTTGGGTGCAGGTAAGACCTGTGCACCGTGTAGATAAAATATGACTTGACAAATGTGTATGGGTTAAGGTATTTGAAAGCTTATCTAGAAACTGCTAGATCAATTTAAAGACATATATTGGATGGTAAGACATAAATTTTATTGAAAATGTTTCTTAGGAAGTAATATTAAAAATAACATTAATTAGGTTATTTTATATTTGGAAACCAAAAGTACAAACAGTAACAAGCCACTGGGCTAATATTATGATTCATTCATATGAAAACAAAGCAACAAGTGTTTCAAGAATTTTCTCTCCGATAAAGACCAAATTTTTATTTATTTTTGCTTATCCTCTACTGTTTGTTTTAACTACAGTTTGGTTTCCCCCAATTGGAATTCACAGTTTGAGAGGTATTGTCATAAGGTACAATATAGGAACAAAGCTTTTCGTTGTGGAAAGCTTTTGATTGATACAATCGTTTTGTCCATTGGTCAATATTTTTAAACCTTGAAAATAATATTCAATGATTATAATAATATATGAGATATTTTTAATCAGTCAATTATGTTTTATACTAAAAATTAATATAAGTAGCTAAGCTATATAAGTATAAGGAGGCAATATTAGAATATAAATAACTACAATAATTATTTTACAAATAATTACAAATAATAAATACAAATTTTATATTAATAAAAATGTTTCAAAATATCTGTACTGAAAAAGTTTTTACTATTTGTACAATTTCTTATTAGGTTAACGAATCTGACTGTAAGATTTATATACATTAAACATTTTACTATTGACCTCATTCTCATTTGGAATATACGATTTTTTATTGCAGGAACCACACTTTTTACTCGCAATCTGTGATCGTTAACTGTGAGTAAACAAAGAACACTCATTTAACAGTAAAATAGTTATGAAATTTGTAATTATACTATGTAAGCTAGACATTGACCTACAATTAAGATTTAAATTTACTGCAAGAAAATGTAATGTAAAATGTAATTTATGATAAATATAAAAGTCCCATAAACAGCAGAGATTTTTAAACAAATTTCACCAGTTTCCCGGGAAATTGCCCGTCTTTGTGCAAGGACAAGGCACCCACAGTTGTGGCCCAAAATGTCTCTATAGATACATTCACCTTGAGGTCGTCGTCGAGGACGAATTATTGATTTTGGGCCCTGCTTGCGGGTGGTAGACTAGAACTTATAAAATTCGGAGGTATTTACATCATGTTGGCCCTGTCACAAGTTCAAATGTAGGTCGTAGTTGAAAAAAAACAATGCAATGGATTTGACTTGTGGATGATTATGGTGGGTCAGCAGAAATATTTGGTGGCTGCACTTGAACCAAACAACCGAATCGCGTGATTTTCGCGGGCTAACAGCAAGCAAAGCAACTGCAGAGAAAATAAAATATTTACATTTGTAAGCAGGCAAAGAGACGTAAAAGTATTATACATATTCATTTAGTTTTCTTTGCGTGCGAGGGGCTCGTTCTGCGCTACAGATACAGCGCATTCCCATTGGTCGAGATTTTTGGGGCTTGGCTTCTGTGACGTCACATGGCGCACGCCCCTCCGAACAGCGATATATCTATCTATCAGATACATGTCTGCGTGCCGTGACGTAGCTGCTGACGTAGTAGAACTCATATAGCCAACACCAAATCGCAGGGCCTTTGTCAACTTGGCCCAGTGCTAATGAGCTTTCTGTTGCATAACGCCGGTATTTTATCATTTCGTCGACTCGTTTCGCCCTTTTGGCATTTTCCCCGTGTAATTAGTATGTATAGTGAGTACGAGCATTGCGTGCTCTAGGTGTAGATACAGATACTTTCTGTAGATGCAGATACTTTCTGTATCTATGCAAACGCTTTCGCAGCAGGTGAGCCTGCTTTTAGGCGCTCTGCGAGCCTGTTCCAAGCGTGGAGCGTGCCAAATGTTTGGTTGTATCTCAAGTCCCACCATGAGCTGCGTTAACGCCCCCGGGGGCCAGTGGGGGGTTAATGGTGGCGGGGACAAGGTTAAGGGTGTTTGCCGAGCGTGTACACAAAACGATATCAGGGCTGCGCCAGAACAAGCTCATAATGACCATCTTTTAGATACACTGTAAGTGAGAAGGGGAAACTTATTTTCTGTTCAGAGTTTAAAATATTTATTTATTTATTTATTCTCAGGTTAAAATGCAATTGTAAATTACATCTGATGTGGCCTTAGGCTACGTTTGTTATATATATTTTTGAGTTTAAATTAATATGGTTCTATTGTATATCAAGAAGTAATCATTTTTGACACCACTTTCTTTATTTTGATTTTTGTTAAATAAAAATTGGGGGCACTCTCTTCAGAAAGCACATATTATATTTTACTTTTCAAATAACTTTGGACCTAAACTAAACATACAATAAAATATTTTTGATAAACTTAAATAAAATAAAACATTAATAAAACTACTTTTGTTGAGTTTAAATAAATATAAAATATTTAATATACCTTTAATTATAATGTACTAATACACCTTAAATATTTAAAATTGTATTTTAAAATATGTGTATCCCTGTACATTAAGCTTCTTAAGTGTCTTGATATTTTTTCAAATTACCCACGTGTATGAATTAATTATAAAGTGTGGAAAGCATTTCTCGTATACATTTTAATACCTGTGAGGTCTCAATATGAATTCCTGCATCATAAAAGTAATTTCACGTGCTTATTTATAAACCATTTGTATGCAGCAATGTATTGAAGATACATTCTCTTCGAGAAATTGTTTTAGGCTCTCCCTTATTTCGATATGAGAAGTGTTTTCCCATTATCTGACCCATTTGTGGCTTGAAGCGGTGTCATGTTTGTTTATTGAAAAGTCCCCAAGCATGGAAGTGCCTTTTTCATCCGCTATGAGCCACCATAAGAGGCCATCCATTATGTTCAGTGGCGGTCGAATTTTCTAGCCGCACAACAAACGTGATCCATTGAACGTGTTCGCAGCTAGACAAATAGTATTCCCCGGCTGGCCAAATGGAATTGGAAATGATAATGGAAATTCTACAATTTGTATCTATAGGAACATTTATACCCCGGTTCTGAAGGTGGAGAGTCGCACTCTGTTCGGCTGCCTTTATTTCTGTATAATCTTTCTGTGCATACGGAAGTACAGTAAACAGAATGACACGTGTTATATAGCTATATTACAATTTCCTTTCTTTGTAGTTCTGCGATCTGATAAAGAAATCTGAACAAATTTATCGGTTAATCCGTTAAATATTCTTTTTTAATTAGCTACGTTAAATGAGGCCAATAATCGGTTTACTAAAAATGTAATCATACTTACTTTAATTAAATTCTTTGGAAAATTTGAAAAATATTTAGTAGATTAATTTTATTTACTAATTATTATAAGTAATATATGTACATATTTTGTTACAATATTGTTGTTAAATTTAGAGTTGTATTTTTAATTTGTATTTAAAAAGTATTTTCACAAATTAAGAGCACTTACTTAAGCTTTAAATGTAATTTTTGCGGTTTTCTGTCAATCGATTATAGTCGTAAGTTTATCAATGGGCTCTAATTGAGAAATTATGTACAATCTATGAAATTGTCCTTCGCAAAGCTAAAATTTTCCACTGCGAAGGGCATTCAGTAACTTGGCAGATCAATTGGAGATGCATAAATTTGCATTGCCTTGACTCAATGGAAAGGCAGGGGCAATGCATCGAAATTTAGGAGATGGCCTCCATGTGGTGTGCAGCAGAAGTTGCATCCACTTCCACATCCACGCCGCGTTGAATGCAATTTCAAGCAGAACGACGGCCGACGATCCGAAATAAAATCTGGGCGAACGAAGGCGCCTGCAATTCCAGTTTGGATTTTGCCGCCAAGAGTCAATAGCCTCGTATGGGTATGGTCTTCACCCCGTCTTCGCCCATTCAGGGCCCATAGTCGCTGGAGAGCGGGACCAGTTTCCCGAGGCCCACCTCCCAAGACCCAAGAGCTGGAGAGCGGGAAAGAGCGTCGAATTGGGAGAATCCGAGAATTCGGGGAACTGGGAGAGCGGCGAGTCCACATAGAGCCCGGCGGAGGCCTTTTTATTGTTTGGCGCGCCATTTGCTAGCCAGCATTCGTTGCGTGCGGTTAAGATACAAAGATACCCTCCGCACAAAGATACTCGCGAGTGCCACTCGAGGAAACATCGAGGATTAAACCGATACATATCCAAAAATATATATCTTTGAAAACTCCAAACCATATCACTTAGTTTGTTGGCTAATTGGTAGTGCAAAGAACGTCGAAAAAGACATTTTTTGGCCAGCAACATGTTTGATTGTTGATGCGCATGCGCCTTAAAGTATTCTATGCTACGTGGGTGGACGACGTGTTAAAGGACAAAAACGCCAGTCAAAGGACATTTATCAGACGTTGACGTACATGTTACTCAACATTACTTTATTGCCAACAAAAGTGCAGTGAAAGGTGAAAGAAAAGCGGTTGAAATAAAGCGGAAAGTCGCCGAAGAATATAGAAAACATATCCCCAACGTACCTCTGTAACCCTACCGAAGTTTACATAATCCCTTCGACATGTCCACCGCATCATCGAGCAACTCCAGCGGCGAGGAGCCCAACAAGAAGTCCGGCTCCAACAATGAGGAGAGCTCCCACCTGCTGGAATCCGCCGAAAATGGAGCCAAATACGGCTCCAGGCAAGCGGTCAAAATCGTCAAGGCCAGCGACAATGGACGCACCAACTCCACCCCACATGTAGGCAAAGATTCGCATGTTTTCATAGATATAAACACTGAGAAAAATCAAGAAATTTCATTTAAATTGCTTCGAAATATATAAAATTAATTTTATTAGGAGAGATTTAAAGATTTTATTTTAAAAAGTACTCTAGATGAAATTAAAATGTCCCAAATGGATGACTACATCTCTTATTTCTCCCTGTGTTTACATAAGCTAAGTCAATTTACCTTATCCAGATGGCTGGCCAAGTTAATACATATTTTTTAATGTTGACCTTGGCCAAGTCCAATTAACGCAGTGTGAAAAGCGATACAGGAAATACAATTTGATAAGCAACAAATTACAGATACCCTACTCACATAATTATTAAACTAAGGTCTTCTTCAGAGTAAGAGCATCTAAAAACCTTGCATTTTTTAAGATATTTACACAGAAAACGCAAACAATCTGAACTGTTGGTTTAGCAAATGCGTAGCTGAAAGCAGAAAGATGTTGCGGCAAAAAAGATACGAGATATAAATAGTTTACCAGACAATTATCAGGCAGAAATGTGTATTGTTCACTCCAAAAGCTATCTCTATTAACCGAACCCCAACAGCGAATTGAGTGTATAATTTCACATTATTTTGTTTTCTTTACGAGTTCAAATACCTTTCAAGCATCATATCCGGTTCACATATTTCAAACGATAAACAATTATAGCACGATATGTTTTTCGTTTTTTTCTACTTGCACGGAGCTAAGCCTCCATTGATGGATCGCTCCGCTTATCAACCTAATGAGTTCCGAATCCTATGTGGAAAGTTTCTATTTTTGTTTGGTTTTTATGTTGAACAAGGTCACAAAAACCTAAACAAGACCACGAAATACTAATCATTATCCATAGGAAAGTCATTCAAAGAAAATACTGATAAGTGGGCACTTCAAAAATAGGGGCGTAATCCCAAAAGAGAAATAATTTTTTATAACAATGAGCATGACACGGATTTGTTTTCGACAATCCAAACATAAATGATAATTTAACCAGACAAATTCAATTGAAACTCGTTCCTCCGAGTGCACAAAATGAGTCAACAATTTTGTGGGTGTTTATTTTAGTTAAAATAACACACGCACCCCTTCGAAACCATTAAAAATGCCGTACCTCATACGGTTACTGAAATACGCACAACAGCAAGTCTTAATGAGCAACATTTGAATACATTTTAAAATGCGACCCACAAAACTTATGAAAGCTTGACCAGTTCGATAACATAGAGTAGCACATTATTTGAATATCAATGTGTTACCCTAAATGGTTGGTTAAACTGTTTACTAAGCCATCAAGCTGTTGACACTTTCATTGGCCAACTTTAAAATTACCAAATTGAGTCATCATTAAGACTACTCCAGTTTTGTATTTATAAACCCATTTTCAAGGCTTTGGTTTAGGGATTATTATAATGAAATTATACCATATTTTAGTAAATATTCAAGACTTTTGAGGTACCAACATTTCTGGAGAAATATCTTTTAAAATCGGTGTATATTTCTTCATATAAATATTTTTGTAACTTATATTATATTTTTTATTTTCAAAATAAAAAAGTAGATAATATAAAAACCGACGGATATTTTCTCCCTTCATAAAGAATACCAGTTCCCCTCAACATGTCTCAAGAGTTTTTCCGAACCTTTATATGGAAATTCTTTCCGTAATTTGAAATTGTATAAAAAAGTTCTTTAGAAAATGCGATGGGAGTTTTAAGAATTCCTCTTATGCAAATGTTATTGCTAATAGCCCGGGATTATTGTACATAAATTAACCTAGGCAACTCAATAATTATGAAGTATTTCAGCTTATGCTTGGCTTATAGTGAACCAGTTTCGTGGAATGCACATGGAATTACCATGCTTATGGCGCGCACTGTTGCGCCTGCCACTGACATTGAAACGAACTTGGACCTCCGCTCACGCAGCTCTCATCCTCGGGTTCGGTGGTGGGGGTGGGGGGTTTTAGCCCCCGAAAGTGGGGAATTCGGATTCCTAGAGCTGCCTTTAACTGGCAGTAATGCTAAATTTAGATACAGAACGACAGGGCAGCCAATGGATTGACCACATTAGCCGCAGACGGAACTCAAACGAACCGAGGCACAGAATCGAGACAGATATCGATTTCAGTCGTTTCAGACGCGATTTGAACGCTTCGTTTACTCTCCACTGGCAATCTGGAGGTGTGTCCCAGTCGACCCCAGTAAATGACAGTTAATATGTGGGCGTACGCCCAGCCCCACTCCACATGGCCTTCTCCTTTTTCCAGCTGCAAACCTCGGCCTGCATTTTCACGGAAGTGATTTGTTCTCTACTCCCTACTCTCGCGTGGGCCGAGATTGGCAATGACACTTTGAGTGGGCTCTTTCAGTGGGCGGCGACACTTGGGATATGTCAAGAAATTGGCGAAGAGAAAATGGCCATAAATTACTCATATGCGCTTTGCGAAATGGCTTTAACACCGGTATCCTGTTATATGAAAGTAATAATTGTAAATCCCATTAAAATGGTCATATTTTAAATTATGTTCTTTAATAAACATTCCTCTACGTTATAAAATTGGCTTAATTCGAGGCTTTCAACTCAGCAACATTTTGTATTTTCAAATCTGTTTTATACATTTTTTAATGTACTACAAAGACGCTATTTTTGCTTTTCACTAATCACAATTAGAACAGGCCCCTTTTTGTTAAAGCAAAAAGCACAAATCACGTACCACACGTGCGATAGGTAGAATAGTAGAAAAATGCTATTTCGATTCCAATGTCAACTGCAAATAATGGTTAACTCAAAATTATAATGCAATGGTTGTGTAGATACAATTGATATGTAAAGTTGTTTAATAATAATTGTTGTAAACGAATATTGCTATCATAAAGAAAAGTATCCTTCTACAAACAATACACTGTGGACATATTTAGAACTTGTTGTCAAAGGTCAAGTTCTATCAAAAGTATCTCTCTACAAACAATACACTGTGGACATAATTAGAACTTCTTGTCAAAGGTCAAGATCTATCAAAAGACAAGCCAGCCCATTCAGGATAAAAATACGAAACACACCTCTTTTATGCCCACGCAATAAAGCACATATCGCATATCATACCCCGACTTGGTTTTGTTTATAAACATAAAAATATCTATGAAAAGCTTTTGATAAACAAAAGCTCTGATATAGCCTGCTGATTCCCGGTCTGCTTTATTCTTCTACACGTTTATAGCAGGAATTTTGGCAATTTACTGATTAGGTAGGCGATAATAACCTCGGCTATATACCTATACCGATTCTGCAGTAATTTATGGCCCATCGAACGGAAGTCAATGAGTACTGCTAACGAGGTGGTCAGATATAGTTAATTGGTGCTGCTTGAGTGACTCCTGACGCCTTGGATGGGGTAAAATAAAAAGGAACGCCATTTTTCTAAAAAATACCTATGAAGAGAATGGAACCAAATGAGAGGCATTTACTCATTGGTAATTTTGGTATTACAGCTACAATACAACTTAAATATTTTTAATCATTTGAAATTCCACCATCTTCATAATAATCGGACTCTATAATGCACTTATTCGTTTAATTAGGTAATTTCCATTCACTTAATCTCTCCCATATCTCTTCAGCTTTATCAGCTTATGCTTATAAGTAAAAGAACTTTCATTGATCACGTGCTGGCCTTAAAACATTCAATTGGAAGCACATGAACATAATTATAGTACTTTGTGTCTCAATCTATAGAATCCTGCCATTAAAGCTTCTTACTGTCATAAGTTTTATGCGGCATCCCCAACTTCAAATATTTCCACCGGTTCCGCAGGGGTCTTAAGGTATTTTCCTGTCCGAAGCATAAAGATCCGAACCACCCGACATATGAATGATATCTGTTACCAGGTGCACATGAACTTGGTTCGGTTGGGGGGCTACTTCTGTTTATGTGACCGGTAGGTATGAAATAATGAAACACTTGAGCACAATCGGAAAGAGCAGATCATAGCCCCGAACTTTTGTTTTGGGGCTGGGAGAGTGCAATAATCATGGGTGCACGGTGTGGGCCAATAAATGTCCTAATCACTGGGCGGGGGGTTGGACCTTATCACTAACCAAGGCATGATAATAATTGTAGGTAGCTAATAGCTGGTCCTCAGTCTAAGTCAGTTGGTCAGAGCAGAACGATCTAAACAGTAGCGATCTCTAAATAGTTGGGAAAGGTAACATTTTTAAAGGAATAAGTATGCATTTAAGAAGTTTAATTTGTATTCTAACAAAAAAGTAGTGCACCAAGAATAAATTATTTGAACGGTTTTCAAAAATAAGTCTAATTTAATATTATTATTTAAGCGTTACCTTACAAAGGAAAAAAAGAGATCCATGGCCTTATTAACTTTAAAACTCCAACCTGAAAATAACTTTTTTATAAAATATATTGACCAAATTTATAGTGCTTAAAATATTATTAACATAGGAAAGTGTCTAATCAAATCTTTGTGTCCTTTGCAGGATCAGGAGAATTTACTCGGCAACATGGTGCACACGTCGACGTCGAACGATTCCCGTAAGGTGACGCAATATGTGGCCGCATTGGCAGCAGCTGGTGGCGCCCTGGCCTGCGGTACCGTCTTGGGCTGGACATCCCCGGCCGAAACGGAGATCGTGGATCTCGGCAAAGGTTACAGTTTCCCCGTCGATAAGGACCAGTTCTCGTGGGTGGGATCGGCCATGACCTTGGGTGCCGCCTGTGTGTGCATTCCCATTGGTTTCCTCATCAACCTTATTGGCCGGAAGTGGACCATGTTGTTCCTGGTCCTGCCCTTCATCCTCGGCTGGGCCATGCTCATCTGGGCGGCCAATGTGGGTATGCTCTACGCCTCCCGTTTTATCCTGGGTATTGCCGGCGGTGCCTTCTGTGTGACCGCTCCCATGTACACGGGTGAGATTGCCCAGAAGGAAATTCGCGGTACGCTGGGCAGCTACTTCCAACTGATGATAACCATTGGTATCCTTTTCGTCTACGCCGTCGGAGCCGGCGTGGACATCTTCTGGGTGAGCGTCATCTGCGGGCTTCTGCCCCTCATCTTCGGTGCCATCTTCTTCTTCATGCCGGAATCGCCCACCTATTTGGTAAGTTTACAGATTTTTAAAGCATTTTTTTTTGATTTGGTGCAATATTTCCTTGGTCTACTTCAAAGGTAAAAGTTTAGGTCGACTTCTTATTCAAGAGATTGCATTTTTAAGATACTGAAAATAAAACAATCCAAAAGTTGAAAAAAAATGTTTCAGAAACATAAATACATTTTTTTCGTATTTGTTTAAAAAACATTAAAGTTTCACGTAAATCAAGAATGTTTCCATTGGAAATACCCTGCAAAAACAGTTATTTTATGACGCATTAAAGACAAAGATTATAATCTATTGATCAGATATAGTCAGTTTGTCAACCAAGATTATGTCTTGAAAAACTCAACATGTTGTGTATCTAAAAGGTATGAAAAGCACCACGTGTTTGCCATCAAAATTAAAAATTCCCACATGACTGCAATCCAGCGTGACTTATTTAAAAATCCCCATCTTTACCATTTGCGTGAATCGAGCATTTTTCAAAAGGAATATAGTTATATTTAATCACGCGTTAAAAAATAAGATTATAATCTCTCAGATATAATCTGCCAGTCAATCAATAATTTATCTTAGGAAAGATATGAAAAGCACCACGAGTTTGCCATCAAAATCAGAAATTCCCCCTCGAGTGTGCTACAACGTGACTTATTTCCAAATCCCCATCGACAGGTTGCCAAAGATCGGTCAGAGAACGCCATCAAGTCCATTCAATGGCTGCGTGGCAAGGAGTACGACTACGAGCCAGAACTTGCGGAGCTGCGTGAAAACGATCGGGAAACCAAGGCGAACAAGGTCAACGTGTGGGCTGCTCTGAACCGCCCCGTCACCCGCAAGGCTTTGGCCATCAGCATGGGTCTCATGTTCTTCCAGCAGGTTTGCGGCATCAACGCTGTTATTTTCTACGCATCGAGGATCTTCATGGTGAGCCTAAGACCTCTGAGATTACCAATATTTTAAAAGACATTTTATTGAAAGCAAGTAAAACTAATTACCCCTTTTTCTTCCATTTTAGGAAGCCAATACTGGCATCGGAGCCCAGTGGGCATCGATCCTGATCGGCATTATGCAGGTGGTGGCCACCTTCGTCTCCACCCTGGTGGTGGACAAGCTGGGCCGTCGCATCCTGCTGCTGGCCTCCGGAATCGCCATGGCCCTGTCCACCACCGCCATCGGAGTGTACTTCTATCTGCAGAAGCAGGACAAGACCCAAGTGGAGAGCCTGGGCTGGCTCCCAGTGGCCAGCTTGTGCATCTTCATCATCATGTTCTCGATGGGCTACGGACCGGTGCCGTGGCTGATGATGGGCGAGCTCTTCGCCACCGACATCAAGGGATTCGCTGGTTCGCTGGCCGGAACATCCAACTGGCTGCTGGCCTTCGTGGTGACCAAGACGTTCGTGAACCTGAACAACAGCCTGGGCATCGGCGGAACCTTCTGGCTCTTCGCCGGCCTGACGGTTCTGGGCGTGATATTCGTTTTCTTCGCTGTCCCGGAAACTAAGGGCAAGAGTCTCACCGAGATCCAGCAGGAGCTGGCTGGCAACCGGCCGACTCCTCAAGCTATTCCCGCGGAAAAGTAATCGGGCGCGGGGAAAACCCGGGGGAGCCCTAATCGCAGATCGCAAACCGGAAGCCGAATGACGGACCGGAAATCACTGTTAACTTGCTGTTAATTTACGTTCGATTTAGGTTCGCGTTAAGTGCAAGTCCTTTTGCGTTTTCGATGGATGAATTTGTTTATAGAATTTAATATTCGCATAGATTTTCGGTTAGGCATAGCGAGAGATTCAGATTGTGAAGTTAAAGATGAGGAAAATTGCAGCAAACTATAACTAAGAGCGAAGACTGAAGGTCAACTGCAGAAAAGCCGCGAGAATTTTTTGCAGCCATAGAAAAGACAACAGCAATTTAAGAAAAAACATATATACCTTTATATATATATATATATCAATATAATGTATGTATGCGTATTTAATGTTATTCTCTCATCCAACGAATTCTGTTTTACCAAATTTTAAGGCATATTTGCATTTGTTCGGATTTTTAAAGTGTTTGCAAGCATTTGTTCTAGAATTCCTAATCTATTTGTACTATATGTGTGTCTATGTAAATGATAAATATCAATAGCTGTTTGTGTCTAAATTTCATGAAGCATTCAGTCGATTCACTTAGCATAGCCCGATTATGTTGTAAGTCGCGTCTTTTGCCAATATATTTATTTACGCCATGTTAGAAAGAGGGAGATGTTTACATTTTATTTAATAAAAACGAGATATACCATTATATATAATAATTTTACATCCGATATTTGAATTTGATTTTATAATCGCTGAAAGCTAAAAAGAAATCCCCGTCTATCATTGTTAAACTTGCATATAGTATTTACGGAAAATTAAAAATACCGATAAAAGTAACAAATATATCAATATATTTAATATGTTGTAAGTGATCGTGTTTTATTTCTTGGGAAGCCTTTAAAATGTTGATCCGAGTTACCATTCGAATTTTATAGTTTTACAATCCATTAAAAAGTAGTTATTACAAGTTGTAATCTTTGTTTGCAAAGCAAGTATATTTCGATATAAACTACAATAACTCCATATAAAATATATAATATATATATTTTTACAACACCTATAAATAAATTATATATAAACAATTTTAGATTATAATTTAACTGTCCTAAGACGAGTTCTATAACTAATAACCTTATATGGTAAAACAATAATTTATAATCTCAGATGATGCTTGTTCAAGTTGCCAGAGAAAAGTCTGGGAGAAATCCTTTAGAAGAATTTGTCCCGCTCGAAGTTGAGGATTCGCAACATGCCGTGTTCTGCGCCAATGGCCACCCAAGTGTGGGCAGGCGAATTCCAATTGCAACGAACGCAATTGGATCTAGTCAGGGCCAGGGAGTGTAAGTTTTGTGGTCGACGCTGAGCGCTCAGGTATGCGGATTTTCGACTATGGGGCTCAGGCACCAGCGGATTGATTTGAACACCATAGTCCCGGATAAACTCCTCTGCACTGATGGGATCCTTGGGCTTAGGAGAAGTCTCGCCAAGATGATGCAGCTCGGTAGTGGATACAGCTCTTGTGTTGACCGCGGACTTTAGCAGTGCAGGACCACAGTTGAGGTCTCGCACATCCAGGAACACTAGGTCACCGTTGTCCGTTACGAACACCATGTGATTTTGCTGACAATTCGAGTGCATGTCACGTATTGTCGTCAGTGTTCCATCAAGGGTCCTGTGCTCGAATTGTATTCCCGACACACTAACTGCTATCGAACGACTGAAGTCTGCAAACGAATTTCTCATAAGTCTTAAAGAGGCATTGGTCACAAAAAATATAGCTTACGTGAGCTGCTGACGACTAGTGTTTCCCAAATGGGAGACCAGGTTAAAGTAGCCATGTATAGATTGCAGATAGGGTCTTGTGTCAGTATGAAAGGTTTCGACCAGTTCGCAATATCATAGATTTTTAATTGACGTATTGAAGTGCCAACTGCAAGCCAACGCGGTCCATTATTGTCGTAATGAAAATCCATAACTATGGGAAAAATCAAATTAATTTGAAAAATTTACTAAGTGTAACTGTAGTGATGGAACTTACATTGGATATTCCGCTCGCCTATGTAAAAGAAATGCACAGGCACAAAGTAGGTCTGATTGTTCCGGATAATACAATTGATATTGTCTTCCACGCTTATGTCCCAAAACGCAATGTAGCCACTGCTATAGCCCGTAGCTATGAAATTGTGTCCCAAAGACTGTCGGGAAAGTTACTATTTTATTTCACAAAGAAAAACACAAGTATAGTTTAGAAACTTACCTGCGACCAACAAATTTTGGTGCACTGATCCTGAACAGGATTGTTCACATCCAAACTGAGTATAATCAAGGCTTTGGGTTGAATTACAACTTTGTCCTCTGCGTTCTCATCTTTTTCCAGCTCCAAAGGCAGTGCATAAATGCAGACATCACTCAAGGAATTCGCCACAGCCAAAAGACCCAAACGATACGATGTTGTATCATAACCCCCACTGGGCAAAAAGCAGAAACTGTTGACTGGCCCATGGGGCACACGAATTCCATAATGAAGCTCCGGCCGAATGGTCCATGATTTGTTCGTCTGTTTGCCGGCAGAAACCGTGCATTTCAGCAGCATCAAGAGGGCATCTTCATCCTTTAATTTGGTATGCCTTGCAAAGGATTTCATCTTTGGACGCAGGGAGCAAAGCAAATACTGATTCGTAACTTTCGGTGGTAGCGGCACCCATGCGAGTTGTTTAATAGACTGCCCCAGATAGCCCACATATTCACCTGCAAATTAAGATATATTGATTAAGTCTACATTTCTGTATCGTTACTTATACGTACCTTCTTTGTTGAAGCCCTCAAACGGTGTCAATTGCTTCCATTCGTCATCGTTGGTTATTTTACCATACGCATAGCGCATGGATGCCGTCTCCTTAGAGGGCAGCAAAGCATTAGCCGCCTGTGGAGAAACCTTCGCAAAGCTTGGCAGCAGTTGGGTGAACAACCCATCAGCGTTATAATTGAGGTGCACACTTGAAAATACAATCCAAGTTTTAATAACGGTCAATAAGTTATCCCTGACTAACTTACAATTCGTTCCATTTATGAGTCGCCCTAGCCTCCAAGTGGTGATATCGTGAGAGTACTGTAGTGTATAAAATTTGTTAATTGCAGTTTCTACTCATCATTGGGGTTCTACTCACAAGGCTTCTGCTGACATTCTCCCAGATTAACTGCCCGTTTAAACGTCCTCTTCCTGTCAATGTCTCCACGTCTGCTTGATTTCTTTCGTTTGGTTGTGGAAGAGTTTTCACCCAGGCTGCCCTCATCCTCGGAGCTTAAGGAGTCCTCATTGGAGTCAACTCCTTCCGAATCATATTCCTCAGACGACTCCTTATCCTTGGTCATATCGTAGTCCGAGGAATCGCCATCGAAATCGTTTTTGGCGGAACTCTCTTCCCCCGGCTTATGCAAAGTCAGGTGCTCTCCTATTTTCTTTAATTTGGTTTCAGCCCTGAAAAATAAACGAATGGAATTAGATCTCAAAACAGCGTTATTCTCAACCACTTAATAAACTTACTTGATGGTAGATTTCCGTTTGGCACGGCCCGCATTGCTGTACACCGGTTCACCAACATTTCCCTCCGCAGGCTCCGAATCTTCATCATTCCGGGACGCGTGGCGTTTTGGACAGGTTCGTATATGGCTCGGTAGTGAGAGTTTGGTATAAGAGCGTTGGCAGAAATCGCACTGCAGGCGCTGCTTATTGCCACAACCCTCCAGGTGAAGCATCATGCCCAGGTAAGATCCCAGTTGGTGATTGCATAGTCGACATTTTAGCTTTTCGCCGCTATTCTGGAGATAATTCTTCATCATATTCATCACGGAAGTACGCGTGATTTTCTGCAAATGGATTATTGGTTAAAAGCTTATTTTTAAGGATACTGGTAGGTTAACGCACCTTGGGTGATTCTCCCACAAACCAACCCACTCCATAATGCTCTCCTAGATGGCGAAGCCAATTGTTTTTATCGCTGCGGGCCAAACATAAACCACATTGCAGAGGACCCTCACCCTTACCATCTTCTGTTAAGATTTCTTCCGAGTCCAACTGTTCTCGCTTCCTTATGAGCAGCAGCCGTAGATTAAAGTCCGATACGCTTACGGTTTCCGAACTCTCTTCAGTCTTCTGTTTCTTGGTTGACTCCGAATCCAAATCAGAAGGTTCAGCGCGCTTTCTTCCCCTTTTTGATGGAACCTTTAGCTCTTCACATATGGGTGAATTCATCGTGCTTAAATTTGAGGTGCTGCATTTCCGCGACTTCGGAGTTGATGCTAGCACTGGTGTGGTAGCTGCATTACTTCTTCTGCCCTTCCTAGGAGCAGACTCGGGAATTGCATTTTCTTCGGAGGCACTAACTGATGAGATGGGAGTGTCTGGTGGGACTGAACCGTAACGAGATGGAGTCTTCCGATTAACCCGCGCCACCAAAGAATCGGCTTCCACTGGGTGAGGTTCAGCTGGTGGTATAGACATCACTGCCGGCTGAGTTTCTGCTGGAGGTAATGCCTTTGAATTGATAGTGGATCTCTTTCCCCTTGACTTTTTAGATGTTGTCGGCTGGATAAGTTCATCTGTAAGTGTTTCTTCTGGTTTTGGAGGCGGATTGACTTCAGGAACTGGTGGAACTGTTACTTTCGGTGTCCTGCTTCGGGATTGGCGTTTTTTCTTTGTTTTTACAGCATTTGTTGCCTGGTTCGGTTCTTCGGGAGCTTTAACTTCGTCCAGTTTCTCTTGTAAATCCGTATTCAAAGTGTTTTCCTCCGTTGCTTCAACGTCTTCAGTATGGGCAACATGGGGAACTAATTTTGGCGATTTACTTCGAGATTTTCGGCTTCCCCTCGGATTGACATTTTCTTTTGGTTCCTCGGAAGCTATAACTGTGGTCGTCGCATTCTCTGAATCTTGATTAACAGTATCGGTAACCTTTTTAGGCTCAGAAACTGTGGGAGTTATTAAAACTGGCGCAACTTTACTAGAACGGGACTGTCTTTTTCTCTTTGGTCTTTGGGAACTATCCGCTTCATTCGCTTCCTCTGAACCTTTAACTGGTTCATTTTCGGTAACAGAAGGTACGGTAACTAATGGAACTTGTAGCTTTGGCGTTTTACTCCGAGTTTTCCGCTTTGTATCCCCTTCCTTCCTAGAACTGGCATTCTCAGATAGAAGTTCGGGATTTGCAACTGGTTCGGGTTGAATCACGGGTGGGACTTTAGATTTAGGTGTAGTGGAGCGGGATTTTCGTTTTCCTTTTGATTTTTTAGATGTTTGTGGCTCCTCAAGCGAATTTTGGTCTTTCGACTTTTCCACTGAACTTGTATTTTCTGCTGTTGCTGGAGGTAAATCTTTCTCAGGAGATTTCATATCGGACAGGGTTTCCTTTGGTGCTTTAAGTTTTTCTGTATCACCAGTAGAAGCATCCTTATTTTCTGAATTGAGCTCTGGATTTGCCACCGACTCAGTTTGAGTAGCTTTTATTTTTGGCGCAATACACCGAGATTTCCTTTTTCCTCTTGATTTTTCTGGTTTTTCAATGGTTTTTTCTTCATCCTGAGTTTGTATAGAATCTTTGTTTCCCATATTCTCTGCTGTCGGCGAAGGATGTATATCAGGAGCCTTCACTACTTCATGTCTTTCCTCGGGTGCTTTAATTTCTTCCACTTTTTTCTCAGCACTTGTTTCAGAAAGTTGCTCCGTACATTTCATTGCTTGGGGTGCAGTAAATTCTTTAGAACTACTTCGAGACTTCCGTTTTGCCCTAGACTTTATAGTATTACCAGAACCCTTAATGATTTCTTGTTCTTCCAGCTTTTCCTTTGAATCTGTATTTTCCACATGCTTCAAAATTTCAGCTGGCGGTGAAGGTACATTTATATTTTCAGACGCATTAACTTCTTCAAAGATTTCTTTTACCTCTGTGTTTTCTAAGGATGCTGGAGATTTTGAACGACTTTGCGTCTGTCGTTTTTTCGTGGTTCTAATATTAGTTAAACTTTCTTTACTTGTAGAAGCTTCTCTTGGAGTTCCTATACCAGCAATTACAATTGATTTAAATGACCTTCTCCTACTCCTCCGTGGTTTACTGTCAGTTATTGATAAATCATTTTCGTTTATCAAAGCTCGTGGCTGCTTTTCCTCTATAGCAGTATGAGTTTTTTGTTCCGTGTCTTCATTCGAAGGATCCAAAAGTGACTCTTTATGAATATTGCTAGATGAATTGGTCTCCAAATCAGTTTTGGGAGTATCTTCAATTCTCGAATCATCTACGGTAGGTATAATTGATCCGACAGCGGCTGCCCCATCATCAATACATACTTCAGTAGATTTTTCATTTACTAGTTCATCCCACGTAGTTGCTTGCCTTGTTGGAAATTCGTCACACCTTTGGTTTCCATCCGTTGAAACGTTATCCCCAAAATCCATTGGACTTGTAGGAGCACCATAACTGCTATTTGAATCATCGGAAAATGGTTCTACTATGGTATGCTTTTTGAAAGTATACTGGGTATCAACCTCGGAAGTCTTAACTGGTCCACGTTTCTCTGCAGACTGCTGCTCCTCCTCAGTCTCGTCGTAATCGGGAGTTGCGTCATCGCTTATGTCCGTTTCGTTGATCTTCATTTGTTTAACTCGCTTGCTTCGTACAGGAGTTTTGGAACGCTTTTCTTCTTTGTCATCGAAGCCCAGAAATATGGAACCATCATCATCACTTGTGCTGGAAGTGGGTATGCGACCACCCACATTTGCACTAACTGGATGGAGAAATTCAAAATGATTTAGCTTTTCTTGTGCATTTTTCTGCGACACTTTTGAGGATCTTTTGCTGAGAACAGGTCGCGTTTTGACAAGTTTTTTGCGGGGTACTGGTTTTGTTGGTTCTTCTAATTTAGGTGTTGGCGATAACTTCTTGATTTGGGGAATCACCTTTTCGGCGGTCAAGTGCCCAAGTAAATTTCGTACTCCTGTGACATTAGGCGAGCTATAGGCACTGGAATCTAACTCGCTGGACTCCTTGCTAAATGGCAATTGAGCCTCGCCTTGGGGCATAGGTGGATCCTGTGAGAGGACTTCTATTAGGGAGACAATACTTTTTGATGTTGCGGGTTGTGAATCCTCAAGGGCCTCATGACTACTGCTCTTTGTACTGGCTTTACTTTTGGGCATTTTAGGTGGATGATACAATTGGGTTAGATCTCGTTCAGTGGATGATTTGGTTGTAATTTTTTGTTCTTCGTGGATATTCATTATTGTTTTTTCGACTTCCTCTTCTTCGGGTGGAATATTTGCAGAATCTTCTTCATGTGGACTAGCAACTTCTACTCGGGACTCAATGACTTCTTCTTCATCTGCTGGCACCTTTGAATTGTTTTTAGCACTAGATAAATTAAGATTTACTTTGTCTGAGCTAAGGCTATCAGAATTGACTATTACCTCGATTGCTGCGACTCCGTAACGGTCCTCCAGCAAGCCGTGATCGTTAGCCGTCGTCTGCTCATCGTCCTCCTCAAATTCTAGCTTTGTCTTCTTTGCTTCAAAGGGCTTTGGGATGCTTGGTCTTTTCGTACGTTGCACTAAATTAATTTTTGCTTTTTTGGATCTGATAGATGCCCTTTTTACGGGCATGGTCTCCTTTACTGGCTCTGGATCGGAAACTGACTTGATCTCCTCCAAAGGCCCTACAGAATCTTTTAACTTTTCAGGTTCTCCTGCCACTGTTGAGGGTAAGTCTAGATTAGCTGTTTCCTCTTTGGCTTCATCAAGAGTTCTTGATTCAGTTTCAATCTTACCGGGAGGATTTGGTAAGTTGACTTGCACATTTGTCTCCTCCGGAACTGAATCTGCAACACCTTCTACATCCAGCAATGACATATCCATGGTGGCCACACTGCTTTGCATCATCATCGCATTTGGACTGATGCGTAGAATGTTTGTACTGTTTACATCTAAAGTAGCGTGCAGTATATTCATATCATCCAATTTGACAATCTTTCCAATAGGCAAATCGTCCTCAAGCTGGGGAGACTCCTTAACGGGCGACACTCCAGTAAAATCGTTTTCAGGCTGGGGAGACTTCTTGGCGGGCGACGCACCAGTAAAGGAACAACTACCTCCTCCAAAAAGAGCGTTTAATCTTTGTTCCTCCGGCGAAAGTTCCATGAAGCTGCTTTCGTCTAGATCTTTCTCTGCAGTCAGTTGGGCTATAAAATCCACTGCGGACTGGACTTTTTGCACTGGTGATGAAGCCACCTGAGAATTGGACTTGATGTTACACACTGGTGAAGTGGGCGCTGAACAATTCGAAGCGCTTGGCTGCGTAGTAGGCCTTACAGGAAGTTCATCTAGTTTTGAAGCTGAAGGAACATAAGGAGGCAAGTCGGGATGGCTAAGTTCTGAAGATTCTTTTTCGGTTAACTCCTTCGTTTCATAAGTCGAAGGAATACAGACTGGCAAGTCAAGATAACTAGGTTCCATGGACACATCCCCCTGCAAGTTTTCTGGTTCGGGCAAGACAACAGCGACAGATGCTGCGTTTGCCCCATCTGTAGATTCTCCTATTTGCGGGGTCAAAGAAATATATTCCAAAGTTTTTTTTTCAGGATATTGTATTGCTTCAGAAGAGGCCGAGGCTGGTTCTGTCCGCTCCGGTGTTGGGGGAATATATACAGGGAAATCAAGAGGGTTTGGAACTGTGTTCACTTCTTCCGTTTCCAAAGTTGATGAAATGCACCCTGCGTGTTTGATCGGGCTTGATTTATTAGCCATCTCTTTACAATATTCTTTTGGTTCAGATGTAGCAAGAAGAAGCGTGCTTGATGTCTCAGATACAGATCCAGGCAACTGTTCAGGCTCAGGAGCTGATGGGATATACACTGGCAAGTCTCTTGACTCCTCTTCAGGATGGTCCTTTGCAACTGTAGTTGCATATGATTGAAGAGGTGAAATATCTGCCGGTATTGGATTTGATTGAAGAGGTGAAATATCTGCAGGTAATGGCTTTGATCGAAGATTTGAACCAGTACAAGGTGACAATTCGCTGATTTTATTTAAACCAGCACTATGTACTGGAACGGTGTTTTCCTCAACAGTTTGTGGAGCAAACAGTGGAGTATGTTTTCTTTGAAGTATTGAGTTAATGGCAAAAGACGTTTCAATTGGAGGAGAAAAGTCCTTTGAATTAAGTGGCTTCAGTGTTTGCGGGAGTTTAACCTGCTCCGCCTGATTACGAATCTCTTTAGCCATCTCGGCCAGCTTCTCCTTCGATACTTTTAGCTTATTGGCGTTCATAATAACCTTGCCCCTGATCTTTTTGGATTGGATAGTGGGTTGAACGGGTGTTTCGGTAGATTTCACCTGTATCACAGTGGTTGTCACTGGAGCATTTGGCAGTCGCAGCCCACTCAAATCAATCTTCTCGTTGGGTGCCAACACCTTGTTCTCTAGCACAATCAGTGGTGGTGAAGGGCTTTTGTGGAGTCGTATGGGAACTGCAGTAGCTGATTGAGCTATCGAAACTTGTGGAGGTGGCTGATACGAATGATGTTGGGGAGGAAGTTGAGAGGAATAATGCGGCGGTTGCTCTACCGGGATCCTTTGGGGACTTTGTGAAACTTCCTGGATTGAAAACTGTGCAGGCTGCTGTTCAGGAGTAGATTTCTGATTCATCAGCGGCTTGTTACTCGATCCGCACAAGTCTCGATGTTTGGGCAGTTGATTCACAAGATTGAGCAGCAGTGGTGGCTGCTTTTGGCGGACAGTCAAGTCCGCCTTTGCAATAGGCACAGAGAAGGCTGCAGGAGATGCAGCGATTCCTACACTGCGAGGAGCTGAACCCTGGGGAGAAGATGTTGGCAACTTAGAAGCTGCCTTGGAGGTTGTCGGCTGCTGGGGCTGCGTGCCGATAGCCATGGCCTTGTTAAGTATCCTGTTCTTTAATAGCGCCTTGACTTGCTTCGAACGGTCGCCATCCTTCGGATTTGGGATCGGCTGGATCGGCACCGTTTTTTCGATAAATTCCGAGATCATAATACGTTTTACTAGGGGTTGCGGAGCTGTAAAACAAGAAATTAAATCATTAGATTAGGAATGGTTTGGTTGATATATATCCAATATGATATGATATATGATAATATCCAATAAAATGTTTTTATATAATCTATAATCCACAAAAAAATTGTTGTAACAAATAGGTTTTAGTTAAGAGTATAAGAATATGATTATTTGTAGTGCTTATTAGTGTATTAAAATAAAATAAAAACTACTTCTAGTCTACTTAGTTGTATAACGGCTGCACAGAAAATTTAAACCGCCCCTATAGAGCTAAAATTAATTTGAAAACGGAAGTAAAACACTTCTATAGTAAAAGATGCATATCACCATTATGCAAACAGTAAATTAAACTGGATGAAGCTTTTACATACATAAAAGAAAAACAATCGCACACACAAATGGCAGTTGACCATGCCGGGATTTGAACTCGGGCCAAAAAGCAAACTATGTCTCCTCACATCGACACTTCGTCCCTAACCTCATTTGCAGCGCGCACTTACAGGTTGGGCCATCGAAAGAATATAGACGGGAGTGGCGAAAGTGTCTCTTGAATCTAGTTTAGAGGATGGGTATTCAAAAAAAAATAATCCACCTATGCACGCGCATTATAGTTTATGAATTCTAGGGGTTTTGTTTATTTTTGTCGGTATAATGTCACTTTAAATTTTTAAACATTTAATTTTAGATTTTGTTACTAAAAACTTTGTTTGCAAAATTTTATCGATATAAAATGTTTATTAATATAATTTAGTATTAGCATGACATTTAAAATCGATTAGACCAAGTTTTTATAAACACTATATTAAATATTTAAAAATTTAACAAAAACTAAATTTAAATATTTAAAATTTTAAGTGTAATTTTTAAATGTTTAAATTAATTTGATTACATAATTATTTCAAATATGTGTTATAAATATACCGAACAAAAATTTACAAAATACCCTAAAATTTTCAGACTATAATCACCATGCTCAGGTGGTTTATTTGGTTTATAACGCTTTGAAAACTAAGAGACAAACTTCTCATCCGGGCTAGTAACCCCTCTAAAGGTTTTTTATACTCGGCATATAAAATTGTAAGTTGAGGTTAAATTGTATAAAGCTTAGTACGCTAAGCTTTAAATGTTTTTAAAACTGCAAAATATATACTTTTTATAAAAAAATCTATTTTAGCATCATTAAAGTTAATATTTTATTTACAATTTTAATTCGAGTTTTGTATTAGATAAACAGTGTCTACCATAAAGGATGAACCAATCGAATGACTCCCCCTATTTTTACTAACCCTCTTGAGGGTAGTTGATTAGTATACTTTAAACTATAAAAGAAAAATATAATATTTTGGAAGATGTAAAAATGGAAAGCATTCGCCGTGAGACGAACTCGGGAAGAATCAGAGCGAACCACAACTCTTTGGCAATCTTTGCCGTCGCCTCTAACAACTGCGCCATCGCGTCGGGTTTCACTCGCGTGTCCCAAACTCGTACAACCAATTCAGATGATTTTGCAAAAAATGTCAAAACCCCCGGCTAATTAACGGTTTTTCAGAAATGCACACAGATAAAAAAAAATTAAATAAAAAAGACTTTTTACCAGGCTGATGCAATTGTTGCTGTTGCGACTGCAATTTGCTCTCTGCTGCGGTCGACGTCGACTGCGGAGAGGCAGAGGGGGAAGGTTTACTGGATGACGGGGTGTCCACCTTCTTGGCTTCCAGTTTCTGCTTTCTCAGGACCTCGGCCAACTGCCTATCGAGTCCCGCTTCCTTTAGCTTGTTGAAATCCAGCTGAATCTTCTTAATTATTCGCTTGGGAGGAGCTGCATTTCTGGTGGCTTGTGGAGCAGGGGCCATACTGGCATTACGAGAATTTGGTTGATTAGGACTGGAGGCCACTGGCGCCGGTGGACCCATGGTAGTCTGCCTCTTAGAATCATCCATTTTGGCTACAATTTGGTTATCCCGTAAGATTGAAACACCTATTTCATGAAAATGACGACAGGAATCACAATTCTTTCACACACTTGAATTGGTTGCACGCCTTTTGTTGATCTCGTTTTCCCGTTATCCGTCACTAGCCAGGTTTTTATAAGCAATTAAAGCTCGTTTTCCTGGAGTAATTCTCCTCACCAACACTATTTTTTCATTATTTCAGACCCTTGTCTGGACATTTTTCACTTTTTTAAATTATAAAAAGAATCAAGCATGTGCATAGAGGTAAAGAAACATCGATATCAACATTAATGTCATCGATGTTTTTACAACAACGATAATAGCGATGTTTTCAAAACATCGGTTACATCGATGATTGGCAGGAAATCATCGATGTTTTTAAGACTTGATTTATTCACAATAAATTATTAACATCAAGCAGGGAAGCAATTACAAGTTAAACAATGAAATAACTAAAACCATGACAACCCACAGTATCACTATAGTTATACTCAATAGCAAAAAATTGTTATTTTAAATTTAAAATTTAAAGTTTCTGAAGTTGTAAAACACTAAAATCCCGGCCACGAACTATCGGTTGCGTCTAAGAAACTCCCACCACTAGTAAGGTTGGGTTGACAACCCTATTTTGTACATCGAAAATTTTCGTTTCCAGCGTGAAAGCGTTTTTCGTTTATCACTGATTTAAAATAAAATAAAGCCCGAATTATGGATTTCCAGAACCGCGCCGGCGGCAAGACCGGCAGCGGAGGCGTGGCCTCCTGGTCGGAGACGAACCGCGACCGCAAGGAGCGACTACGTCAACTGGCCCTGGAGACTATAGATTTAAACAAGGATCCGTACTTCATGAAGAACCACCTGGGCTCCTACGAGTGCAAATTGTGCCTGACGCTGCACAACAACGAGGGCAGCTACTTGGCCCACACGCAGGGCAAGAAGCACCAGGAGAATCTGGCCAGGAGAGCTGCCAAAGAGGCCAAGGAGGCGCCGTCATCGCTGCTGGCGCCCGAGAAGCCGCGCGTGGAACCCAAGAAGTTCGTCAAGATCGGACGACCCGGTTACCGGGTAACCAAGCAGCGGGAACCCACCAATGGCCAGCAGTCGCTGCTCTTCCAGATTGACTATCCGGAAATTACGGAGAACATCGTTCCGCGTCACCGGTTCATGTCTGCCTACGAGCAGAAGATCGAGCCGCCAGACCGCAAATGGCAGTACCTGCTCTTCGCCTCCGAGCCATATGAGACGATTGGATTCAAAGTTCCCTCCCGAGAAGTGGAGAAGAGCGAGGGCAAGTTTTGGACGCACTGGAACCGGGACACAAAGCAGTTCTTCCTGCAGTTCGCCTTCAAGTTCGAGCCCAAGATCATGCCTCCGCCGCCCCCGAGTCTTCATCGTGCACTGGGTGGCCCACCCGGCGGATTCCCCATGCCAGGACCTCCACGTCCGGCAATGCATCCCATGTTTAATGGAGTCCCACCACCGCCACCCATGTAATCGAGCAACACATACTATTTGTTGTCCAAAGTAAAGTAATTCCTCTAAGCACACAATCCTCAGAATCAAGGACATCCGTTCAAATAATAAACAATTTTATACTTAATACAACTCGAGTGTCTTGTATTTTCGTTTCTTTCTTAAGAAATTGAAAAAATATTGCTGGTTAACTTTATAAATGTACGACCTACAAATCGATTGCGTTTAAGGTAATTAACTTAAAACTAATCTGCTGCTTTAAATTAGGCAATTTATAATACACTTGGCTGGGCTTCCTTCTGTCAAACGATTTTAGATCTTTTCGCGCTTCTTAAAATTTCGCTTAGAGGCACATCGGGTGATTATGTCCGAAACGTGAGGCTTGTGCTCGAAGATCTTCATCAACTGATTCTGCGCCTCGTTGATGCCATCGGTAATTATCTTGCTGCGCTGAATGTTGCCCTACAAAATGGTGTTATAGTTAGATGGTTACTGGAATTAATGACATATAAAAACGCACCTTTAGCAACTCGGTGACACGCTCCATTTCGCTGTGCTTCTCCTTGTCCTTCTCCAGATCCTGCAGCATGGTCTCAAGCCTTCCCAGGCTGACAACCTCGGACTCATTCTACAGCAGAACAGTTCATTAAAAGTGATATCGACATTTACATCCAAATTTCTTACCAAGTCCTCCATTTGTGAGCGCAAGTGGTAGATTTTCCATCCATTAATTTTGCCCTGGACATTTGGCTGATTAGCTAGATCAATAACCGTGGCCTTTCGCTCCTCCCTTGGCTTAACATCCGTATACCGATGGAAGTGGTTGTTGGCCAACTTATGCGTGGGTTTATATGTCTGTGAATCGTTGGAAATATCAGTAAAGTAATAAACAATATATTTTCCATTTAGCTTACATTAAGCAGCGCACAATTGCGTGGGCGACGGATGACAAAGTCCACAGGATTGGCGTTCTCCTTGTTGCCCGTCACAGCGGGCGCACTGTTACGATGGTTGGCATCGCCTGCTGTGCTATTAGGAACAGCTCCCGGCGCCGCCGCTGCCACTAGGAGTCCTCCATTGTTGTGTTTCTGCATGTAGGATGCGCCAGCCGGTGGCGTTGGGTCTGCACTGGGAGGAGGCAGTGACAAAGATGCCTGGCTCTGGGTGGAGTGCTGGCTGTCATTTCTGGGAAATAGATACAATAATCGATTATTTAATTGCACAGACTAATTCAGTTCTAATAACCCACGTTGATCGGCGTGGCTTCTTCCTGGAGGAGCAGTCGTAGCTGGAGCTCGAGCTATTGCCAGTCCCATTCATACGCGTTCCCGCCTGCTGTTGCATTTGGGTTGAGCCCACCAAATGAGGTGCCTGCTGCTGAGGTTGCTGCTGCTGTGGCGTCGGTGCTTGAACGTCCACAAAGGCACTGCTTCCACTCCGAGATCCAAGGGACGAGTGGCCAAGGTTCTGCTGCATCGATTGGTGCGAAGAGTACAACTTAAAAAGATCAAACATTTAGTAGGCTTTCTTCAAGGGCAACTATTTTCGTACCCACCTCATTGATAGGATTAAAGTGCGTGGAGTTATCACGTCCACTTGCGCCTCCAGTTGCTGGCGGATCGCCAATTCTGTCCTGCAATTGCTGATCTACACCAGGTGAGGAATTCGCCGACACTGTCGTTGAGCCATCCGAAGAAGCTGGCGAATCCGCTCTAGAATTTCTCGTTGAGGATACAGTGCCCACCGTGTTTGGCACACTAGTCACGTTACTTGCTACTCCATGGGCGACCCGCTCCCGTTCCTTCTTTGCCAAAGCTTCCACAGTCAGTGCGGAGCTAACTGATTGAGGCACTGCCACTGACACTGGCTGAATATTGAAAGTCGTGCCCGGAGCTGGCGGCATATTTGGTCCACTAGTATTGCTGGCCATTGAGAGTAGAGTAGGGCCCAAATTTTTGGCCGCTCTGATAGGAGAGCCGTCTGAATCCCGCTTCCGCATGAAATTGGGCACCAGAGTTCCACTTCCTGCTGCCTGTTGAGGATTGCCCGCCCCTGTTGTCACCTTCACGGAGGTATGCAACGGAATGACCATGTGCTGCGGAGGTGCACTGTTTGGTCCTGCTGGTATTATTAATTGCTGATGGCCAATAGTCCTGGTAGCCGTTCCCCCAGCTCCTGATGGCAAAACAGTGAAAGTAGCCTGTGATCCGGCTCCGGCCGATCCTGCTCCTGTGGGCGCATGGCTGGCGAAGGGCAGCGAAGACACTGACAAGCTGCTACCGCCGGCGCTGCTAACCAATTGTGCCTGTGCCTGGGTGCTCTGCGTCACTGTGGTTGTGGTCAATGATAGAACACCCGTGGAGGCGGAGGCCGGCATGGATTCGTAGTAAATCGTAGCAGCACTTCCCTTCTCATCGATCTATAAAGGAAATGCAATTTAATAATCTCAATTTCATACATTGTAGTTAAAGCTAACCTTCATCAACTGGCTCGGCGAAGCAACCACTGGATTCCAGGCGCGTTGGAAGCCAGTCACTGTTGCCCCGCTAGTGCCGGATCCATCTGTTCCAGGCGCAGACGTGGCCGGAGTCATCATCATCTTGCCCAGGGTAATGCCGCTGGCATTTTTGATGGGCGTCAGAGTTCCCGTGAGGATATTGCCCCCTGGTCCCACACCTGCTCCCCTACCGCTGATCGTCAATGGCAGCACAGTGGCTCCTCCAGCCGCCGAAGTGGCCCCTGCCACAGAACTCGGGTTGACCACACTGGCCGAGACATTCGGCACTGGTACCGCCTGAATGCTGGCCACACCCTGCGGCGTCATCGTGGGCCCTGTGGTTCCTCCGGCGGCTGACAATTTGCCAATAGGATTGAGCTGAGTTATAGTTAACGACGGTTGTACTTTGGCGGTCATGGTAACCGGTGGTCGAATGCCTGGAAAGGGTTTTAAGGAAATATAAGATAAAGTGATGTTTCCAAACAAAGGAGCAAGCAATACACCCGTTAGTAAAATAGACAGAAAACCCTTCGACTCTGGATAAATTTACAACATCAAGAAGATGTGACTAGCTTTATTAAAAATAAAGTTTCTGTTACATCAATGATGCCCTCGTCTTATAAAAACGGAGCATAACGCCTAATTCCACAGCTCGCCGTCTACGATCTCCAAGGCCATCTTTTTGCGAAAATAGACCACGTTGTCCTGCGAAAAGGTGATTAGAGCATTTCGAGTAATGTACTCAGCAATCATACAGCTGAAAACGCCGCAGTCGTTGTTGTTTTTCTGTTGCGGTACGTTTCGGGCTTTTTCGATGCGAAAATTTCTGGTGTCGAAAGACTGATTGCGCTTATCCAACGATTCCTCTCGCAGGTATTTCTCCAGTGTATCCAGCAAGTTCTTGTTGGCTCCCCCCTTCGAATCATAGTATAGGATCGTCTTTTTACGCATATCGATTATGGCCATGGTCCAGTGAACGCCTTTGCAGTGTACAGGAATCAGTATGATGTCCTTGCTGAGAATATCAACCTTCCGTGTCCAGCGTTTTACGCCCTCGAAACCACTCTGCAGCAGACGTGGCATAAAGAAAGTGTTCATGGAGTAAACACTGGGCAGCTGGCCTGATCGCTTTTCCGAGCGATCGGTCAACAAGTTCATGTAGAAGTTGATTACTACGTCGTTGAGCCATCTGCCTCCAATTAGGATTTTAATGTCGCTGAGGTGGACATCCAGTTTGAACTTAGAAACAACGAATTCCTCGGGATGGCCTTCTTTTAATTCCATTAAACGACTCAGATGCTCGTTGGTCAGCTGAGGGAACTCCTCCTTTTCATCCAACTCATCCTCGCTTATAGTGATGAGCCTGGGACGATTCACGGGTTCTTGGGTCGGCTGGGCGGACTCCTCGTTTTCGTTTTCATCTGATTCATCTTCGCTGATGATAATGGACTCGGAAGCGGTCGCCTCTTCTACTTCCGATTCATCCTCGCTGATGATAAGGACTCGATAGCGGTCACTTCTTCTGATTCATCATCGCTGACGATGAAGGACTCGATAGCGGTCACCTCTTCTTCTGATTCATCATCGCTGATGACGATGTGTTTAGTAAGCTGAGCGAAACCTTATTTTCTTGGATTCGTCCTCGCTGATGAGGATGGTCTCGGGGCGATTTAGTGTCTTATTGGTCAGCAGAGCGAAGCCTTCTTTATTTTCCGACTCATCCTCTGTGGTGATAATGGACTCAGGGATAAGACCGCAGTTCTTTAACTTATTCTTGCGCATTTCCTGCTCGAAGGCACGGCGTTCATCCTCGGTTCTTTTAGCTTCGAAAAGTGCTTGTGCTACAAATATTTTAAATTTCTTGCTCTTTTGCAAAGCTTGCTTTCTGAACTGCTCGATATAGTCATCCTTCAAAAACGCGCAGCTGTTGATGCGTCGTTGTCGGGCACTTTTGACAACATAAGGTAGTGATTTGCGCTTAGGTTGTTCCAGGGACTTCTTTGTTGCAATAGGCCTTGCTTTGGGTTGTTGCCGGATGGATAACGGTTAAAAATGAGAAGTCGCTCAAGAGCCAGAATAATGTCCTCCACTCTTTCCAGTGGATAAGAACTTGTCGAAGGGTTTCATTTGGCCGGGCTTCAGGTCGACTAGGTTGCAGCGAATGTGGATTCGGCATGTCGCATTCATTACGAAGAAGATTTAGGTAACGCTCACGCTCGATGAACTGCCCCTCGAGGGCCAGCAAGCTGTAATTCGCTTGGTTTGCCATTGTTTCGGGGGTTATCGAATCCTCAAGAAGCTCGTTTCTTAAAAAATGAGTTAATGAATTATCCACACACTGAAACTTGGTCGGTTGCGAATCCCGGCTCGGGTTCTTTAGGTTCTTGGTAAAACTGATTGTTGGCTCGACGCTCCTCTTTGGAACTCGATCTCTTTTCCTTTTTAGATCCGAAAACCGTCTCGTTGGGGTCTGTTAATCCTCCTTAATGCATCTAACAATCGAATGTGAAGTTGACTAGCCAATAGGGCTTATATAAAAGTAAGTCATTTACTTTCTTCAAAATGACATTTAGTTCACTGCTTTCTAGATGTCAAATTAACATGGCAGAACCCTATAAACATACATACATGCTGTAAACTATTTAGTGTTACGCAACTATTTTCTAGAACAGTCTGGATATTCCCAAAACTTATAATTTGCTTAAGTGTTGAAAGATCAACAACCCTAAATTTTTCCTGTTGAATTTTCAATCAGCTGTAACCAGTTGTCCAATTTGTTTAAGTAAAAACGTATATAATTCTTTTTTACTGGAGATATTAAAAAGTTACAGAGTTGTCATGGCTCTTTAATTAAATAAGGTGACAACTCTGGTCCTCAGCAATTCAACAGTTTCGAGGTTTGGGGAATACCCTAAGTTACTTTTTTACTGTAATTTGTCTTTGTTTATATTATCTGTATATTTAATCAGTGGTGCAGCGCTATTAGTGAGCATAGGAATGTTTGCCATCCTTGCTCGCTCAGTATACGTATGTACATGTTGTTGATTCATGGTTTCGGTCATTTTTTCAATTCGGCGCTTTTTGTTGTGCCAAGATTCATGCAAGCAGAAACGTTCGCTACAGCCGCGCGCAAACTTCGTGTTTGTTACATCACTATGCAAAATTGTGATTATGTGTGTGCGACATGATTTAAATAGATCCGTTGTACAATGTACATAAGGGTCAATGCCTTCTTGCGAAAAAAAGCTTTTTGAATCCAGCTTTCTTTCTGCGATTTCCCTAACTTCCTTTGGAGCTTGCCCCTTTTTTTCCACCATCCCCACACTGGGTATACAACTTACCCATCTTAGCCGCCGCGGTGGTGCTCATCAAGAAGGGTTGCAGCATCACATTCCCGCCAAACGGGCACCGGATCCGATAATCTGCTGAGCGGTTCCCGTCGCAGGCTGCTGCAGTTGGATGATCCGAGTGGTGGGCAAATTAGTGGCCGTCAGGGCAGTTCCTCCGGCCCCGGGACCCCGCCCGGGCGCCACTGTCGCTCCCCCAGAAACACTAACGCCGTTGGTGAAGCTGTAACGCTGGTATTCAGCTGCGGGATGCTTGGAGCCCGGATACTTATGCTCGTGGTGTTCAGCTTGGCTCCAGGGAAAATCTTTCCCAGTGGGGTGGATCGCACATGTCGAGGTGTTACCGTGGTTCCTCCAGGAGTCGTGGTTGTTACACCACCTGTGGGCGTGGCACAGCGAAGCGAGGATTAAATTGCTGGCCGGATTCTGACTCACATTGGGCGTAGATACGTTGGAGGAGTAAACTAGGTGGCCTGGTGCTGCCTCTGGGGCAAGACAGTGGCCACATAAGCCTGAGGTCCTCCTCCCCTGGACCACCGGCCTGCTGTGGCGTCAAGGGCTGGCCAGCCGAAACGGATAAAGCTACAAAAAATTACGATTAGAGGATTGATATAAGGCTATTATTAAATAACGACTCACCTGTTGGCGCCTGCACTGGAGTAGTGGTCACCACACTGGCATTGGATACCCCCGCGGATGTCGTTATAATCCTCTGGCGCGGCTGATGAATGGCACGTATCAGTTGCACCTGTCCCGTGGAACTCTGCATCCAGGCAGCACTATTGCTGGACGAGATCACCGCCGAAGGTGGTTGCGACGAGAGCGCCACTCCACTCCTGCTCACCGATGCAGTTGCTCCGCGAACAAATCCACCGGTTGAACTGAGAACTGTGGGGGCAGTGGGCGTCACAGTGGCCGAGGATGTGGCCCTCAGGGGCGTCACGAGCCGCTGTCCAACTCCAACTCCAACGCCACCCATCTGAGTGGCCGTCACACTGGCTCGCGGCAGGTAAGTAGCCTGGGTCACGGGCCTGGTGACCGTGATAGAGGCATTTGCCACACTCCTGGCCGGAGCAGCTGGTATGGCCGTAATCTGAGTTCTTCCCGTGGCCGTGACATTCTCCAGCTGCTTAATCATGGGCATCACTACACGGACTTGCGTGGACTGGCCACCGGCTCCAATGGCTCGTATGGAGGCCGCCGTGGTCGCTTGTCCTGCACTCAGAGCAATCGGCGTGCCCCCCATGGAGGTTTGCTGAACTGGATTGGCAGCAGCCACTTTGATTGTGCCTCCGCTGAGGATCGGGGTGCCGAAATCGATATCCCGCCGCCGCCGTCGGATTTCACGTGGGTGATCTTGGCGGCCACCGCCGGGTGCGCTGCAGAGGATGGCAAATGGGATGGCAATGAGTACTTGTTTATGACGCCGCGCAGCTGCAGGGGCGGATGTGAGTGCGATACCAGGGATGCGGATGCAGATGTGGAGCCGGTTGCGGATGCGGTTAACGATCCAGTGGCTGCCAATGATGATGATGGTGGATATATAGACGGCAGCAATGACAACGATGGCAGTGCATGGGGATGCAGTTGTTGGGTGCGTATCTTAATGGTTTTCAGGGGGGCTGTGCGGGTGGCAGTGTGTGGCTTCGTGAGATTTCGTTAAAAGGTCCACATGGAACACGAACAATGGACGGACAGATGAATTTAGGGTCAATACTTTTGTTCTCGTTTTTTTTATTTGTAGGAAGGCTTTTTAATTTGAAAAAAAAATCATTTATCAACCTTGTTAAGACCTTGTTAATCATAAATATAATAATCTAATTTAATTTCATTTAAATTTTTAACAGATTGAAATATTGTTTAAAAAGTTTAAAAATTGTGTTCGATATTTAAAACAAAATATTTTTAAATTTAATCAAACTCAACATTAATGACATTTTAAGCAAAATAAGGTTTTAAAGGAAACGAATGGAAATTATGAGTTAAAAACATACTTTAAGTTAAACAATATACGTAAGTAAAGAAAATATAAAAAAAAATTGATTTAAAAAATTATTTAATATTAAATTTATTGATTTTATTGTTCCATTTTTTTGTCAAATTTTTTAAGAAACTAACTTATTTGAGCTTCAAAACAAGGACAATTTCAGGGCTGTGGCAACCCTGCCACGACAAAACAAACACATACACACACAGTGACACAGAGAGAGAACAGCTTTTGCTGCGAAGTAAGGCACAAAGAGGAATAGGAAACAAACAGTGCGCGTATGGGAGAGCAAAGGAGAGGTGCACAAATGTTATGTATACACACGCACACACGGGCACAATGCTAATACGTAATACACACGTAGGTATATAAATAAAGATATTCCACTTGGATATTGGCGAACTTACCTGATGGCGCTGTAGCTGTACCTCCACCGCCCACCGGCCCGCCCGCCCGCCACCTTCACTCGACGCACTCATTGTTCCAGCTTCGGACTGCGATTCCTGCAAGGCACAACAATTTCGGAATCAGATCCCACTTCCACGTTTTACATGCTTTTCGCCTCCTCTCCGTCTACCCTCTCTTTCTCTTCTTATCACTGTGCCTATGTATCCACAGATTTGCTGCACACGCACGCACACGAAAACAAGCGGAGAAAGGCGGTTTTTTGCTGTTTTAGGGAGGAACTTGCCTTTTGTTCTGATTAGAAGCCCTTTTAAGCCCGCCTAATAACGGATTTAATTGCAAGCGCTTGCTCTTAATGAACGAATTTTCCTTGTTTTTCTGCTCTTCTTTTCACTCAAAGAAGTAGTACCAATAGTTCGTGGCCAAATATTCCCGACTATCGCTTAAGCTTACCGATAGTTGTTTTAAGAAATTCAGTATTTAGCTGGGTGAAGAAAATACCAAAAGTATTTTTGGTCTGCTAATACCCACTGCACCAGCTGTTGCAATTGTAAGCGGCTTGCTGCATAAACAGCTGATCGGCTAAAAAAAACATTACGAAATAGGGTCCCACAGAGCCAATTTATTTTAAACAAAATATCTTGTTTGTGTATTTATACCAGAGTTGGCATAGAACAAAAGTAGTGATACTGAAGAATATATCATTAGATAATAATACTACTGAAAATATATGTTAGTAAGAAATCGAACTCCAAAATGTTACTAAGCAAAATTGTAATTGACATTGTTTTTTAAAAGCCTATGTTGGTGCTCATTAAAGCTATAATTTCTTTGATGTCTTGAATACAACGCTTGACCTGCGTACTGTTCCTATTAAGGGGCATCTCACAAAGACGCGTTTTTAAATCCGTGACCAAGAATTGGTAGCTCTCTGAAGATTGGCCAGGCATTTTTGCCCCAGTATTAAGCACAAATAATCCGCTAATTGTTTAGGAGAGGAGCAACGTTTGCTCCTTTGGTCAAATCAAGAAAGTCAATTGTAATGATTTCTCAGTGTAATGCTATGTCCTCTTACACAAAAGTCGCGGTTCAAATATTTCTCATCTTTGGTCAACCAATTGGTATTTTAATACATCAGGCCATGTCTGGGATGAGTGCGAACATTGACATTTCGCTTGGTTTTGTTTGCTCTCCTCATATGATATGTTTTCCAAGTTATATGATTAGTTGTGTTAACTGTCGGCGTTTTTGTGTGTATTTGCTTATATGGACTAAACATTTCCATAAAGACTGTGAATTCATATATGTATCAGGGAAAATAACTACTGATGGTCTGTTTCTCTAGGTATTCCTATTACATTCTCGAAACCCATTTGTTAGACTGGATAGTTGTACTTTTAAAACCTGCGTTTGTTTATCAGAAAATGTCCCCTGGTACTCCGATTGTTTGATTACATTATTATTTACATTTTTAACCATATTGTTTGGCCTAAAAACAGACCCTAACTTGAGTGTATACAATTATAAAGAGATCGTAAAACCAAATTTAGCCATATGTTTGTTTGCTTCTTTAAAAATGGGTCTGTTTTATTATAGGGGGTTCCCCATTTTAAGAAAAAAAGGCCTGCCTATAATGAACTTCAGAAGTTGAGATTCGCTTAGAAATCTTGGGTCTGGTCAGATTTCTAAATATGTTTGCTAGTTATAAGCATTTTGGTGATTCCGTATGAAGTTACTTTTTTATTTATGATAATATGTATGTAAATCATAAAATAATAGAAGTAAATACATAAGTGAACAATTTCAGCCATATGACATTGTTGTTAAATATAGCTTCTAAAATTTGTTGATTCCCTGTCTTATTTTTTAAAACAGCGAATATTTTCTGAGGAATAAAAAAGTTATCTAACAACACTATACAAATCTAACTATTTGTTGTTAATAGTATTTTTTGAGTATTTAATGGGCCCCTAGGATTTTTCCCCAATACACCTGCAGCCACACTCTCCAACCCCACTTTTAGTTGTGTTTTGTCTTTCGCCTCCGCCTTCCCACAATTTCGGTGTGTCTCTCGCGAAGTAGTTGGAAAATTGACTTTTGCAAAGTTTTTCGCTGGGACCAAGAAGCTAAATTTTCCAAAAACCAAAAGGAAATTGTGCGGATCGTCCGTGTGTGTGTGTGAGAGAGAGTGTGTGCCATCCATCCTGCTGTCGCGTGTGTGTATGCGAGTGTGGGCCGCAAATTAAAAGCAATACCACACTGAAAAACCGACACAATCACACACGGAAAAGAACAGTTTAATTCAATTACAAGTGAAATTAGAGTGGTGCCCGATAATTGTCAACTGGCCAGGTGGACGGGAAAGCCAACGGAGGTGTTACGTGAAAATCCCGGAGATCGTCGAGGGCCAGAAAATCGCTTTTGTTGGCTGGCTGAAGGGAAAGAAATTGATTTTCCATTTTCCACAATTGCAATTGGAAGCAAAGCAAAGCAGGAAAAGAAGAGGAGTGGAGAGGAGGAAGAGAGCAAGTGTGTGTGTGTGTGCGTGAGCGAGGGGGTGTAAGAGAGAGAGAGCGGGCGAAGGAGAGAGCAGCACTTCCAGGCGTCGCATCCTCCTCCTTTCTCGCATGCGATGAATATTGTCGGGGAATATGAATATAGCTCCAAGGATATGCTGGGCCACGGCGCCTTTGCCGTCGTCTACAAAGGACGTCACCGCAAGGTAAGAAGCAGAGTGTTCCGCGGCACACACAAGTCGTATATCGTATATTTACAACCCTAACCAGCGATTCCGTCATGTTATTAACCTGTTTTCCCCACCAACGGATCCGTTGTTATTGTTTTCGTTTTCGTTTTAATGGGGCTTGGTCGCATTTGTAAATAATACAATCACAAGCCCCAAAGTTATTAACAATGCGCCATTGTCAAAGGCAACACGCAGAAATCGGCAAGAGCCAAAAGCCCCTCGGAAATCGTCGCGAATAAAACGAAAATCAGCTGATCACAGTGCAGCTACAAATTACAAGTAGTGCTAATATGAAAAACTAAAAAACATTAAAAAAAAGTGTCAAGAAAGGGATAAAATGATTTTTAAAAGTGCGCAGGACCAATAAAACAATTTTAAATGTTATTACTTTATGATTAATTAATGTAGATACTCATTTAAATTCTAGAGTGCAAGCATCTAAAAACCAAGTTACAAAATTATTTTACTAGACCAACGAATCGTACAGGTAGAAAAGTCACCTAAACATATAATTTCATTTTTAAAATTTTTTATATTGTTTTAAGGTCTAGAACTAGAATCTAGACTTATCTAGGTAGAAAAATAGACAAAAAACATCGAAACGAAGTATAAAGATTTTAACATTGTTTTTATAACTATTTACCCAAAAAAAAATGTTATGCTTCGAGCATCATATATAATATGAAACATTGAAAATCAAAATAACAAGTAAACTATTATTTATAATTATTACTCTGTTGTTAGTTATAAATGTACACCGAAATTTCTGCTTTCATGCTATACAATAATTTATAATTTTAACAGTTTATATAGTATAGTTCACCAAAAAAATGATTACCGACCCACTGTACCGAACCCAATTAACTTGCTAAGCGAAATCACAGCCCTTTTGTTGAGGGCTCAAGCGTGGCTCCACTTTTTGTTTTCCTAAAAATTTGCGTTTTACTTTTGTTTATTTTCTCTATGGCTGCCTCCCGAAACCCTCGGTTTTCTAGCAAAGTTTGGGAACCACACGCACGTGCGATTTCTTCTGGGGATACAAATGAAATACTTGAACACCACTGCGTATGATAGATACACAAATGTGCGCGCTAGAAGTGTGTTGAACTACTTCAGGGTCATCGTAGAAATAATGAAAATAATGGCGCGTTTTTGGGCCGCAAAAGGGCTGAGAAATTCCGATGGGATTACAAAGTAAACACATCCAAAGGTTTTTACAAAAACTATACACTCCCATTTTCGAATCGTCACTGTTTTTAATTGCCTATACTTGTAAATGCACGCTTTAATTGCAACTTGGAAACCTTTGGCTTTTTATTTGCAAATAATCAGCAAAATTTGCTGCGACATTTGAAAATAAAAAATTTAATTTTCCCATAAATCATGCATATTTAAACGCCATAATAGGCCTTTTAATTGTGACCAGCTTAACCAGTTAGGCAAATAAATGCTGCAGGTCAAGCAACTTTTATCAATAAAAACTGCAATCTGGTATAAATAGGATAGTTAGGCGAAAAAAACATCCTAAACTGTTGGTAATGTAATGACGGTTTTTGTTTATTTTCTTTCAGTATTGAAAGCAAAAAAACCAAAACACAGAAAACACGCAGAGGGAAAAGCTCGATGCGAAAAGTTGTTCGAAACAGCTGCCAGTTATTGCATCAGCTGATTTCTGTATCCATTTAAAACACGCACCTACAAACCATATGGGTGATCCACTCTGATCCAACACAATATATAATACCTTGAGCCGTATGATTATGCCGACCAATTTTATCTCATACACATCATTCAGTGGGTTTCTTTTTTTATTATTATTTTTATTGTTAGCCGATCTGGTTTTTGTTGGTGCAACCAGGCAGGGAAAATCGCTCTTATCAACGCAGTTGTGTTTTGTGCTTTGTTTTTCTAAATTGCTCAAGTTCGTCTCGTCGGTAAATGAAATCACATTATTAATTGCAATTGCAGTGTGACAACAACCACTACAAATAGCAGTTGCAATGACAATGGAAAAATAGGTTCACACGTAGCCAGACATTCGTCTCGTCTCTTTCTAATGATGTAAGACCCTCTCTTTCTGTCAATTTGGATTTGTCGTTAATGGCCCTCATTCGCCCTATTACTAAAGATCTGTGGATTCATTTCTGTTTTTTCTCCTTTCTTTTTGTTACTGATCGTTAATCATTTAATTGAAACACCCAAGTGATCTATAAATAATTGTATTTTCTCCGACAAATATTAGGTATGTGTCATTCGATGAATTGCTTTATTCGTTGTGACGTCTTAAAAACAAATATTTAAAAAATTAATCTATTCATGGTATCTTGCATGGGTTTTTCTGCGTATCTTCTGTTTTTCTTTGTTATGTTTATTTAAAATAAATACTTTTTATCGCCTTTTGGAATTTTTTAGATGTTCATATGTACAGTATTCCTAATGAGTTTCGTTTTAAATTTAAAGATTCAAACTTTGCCAAAATCTGAAAACAAAATTGTAAATTTTATTTTATCTTAATTTATGTTATTTTACTCAAACGATCAACACCTTTAATATTTTTTCAAAATAAAAGCACAAATGATTGTCAAGTAATAAATCTTTATAGTCACTGTTTTTCATAATGTTTATGTTTACGATACATATTAAAGTCATTAAAAAAACCTTAAAACATTAGACATGTCTTTTAAGTGTTTCCATCCACTTGAGCGCACTTCAGCGACAGTTGGAATGTGAGTTGAGCTCAGTTGACTTCCCGCGTCTTTCCTTTTATGGCCATTTCAAGTAACTGGTTTCGTGGTCCGGCAGTTTTCGATTTCTTTCCATGACTTAACGTCGCCGTAATCACTTGGGTTACTTAAGCAGCTCGAAGGACAAGGCGGCGCGGAGTGCCTGGCATTTGCGTCTCCAAAAGAGTATCTTTTGCCTGCACGTGCTCAGAACACTGGCTAAAAATAGTCAGCATGTGCAGCGACGAAAGATACACACCCGAAAGATACTTGAACTTGCGGATGGGAAAGGAAATCCTCCTCCGAGGATCTGAATCTGCATCCAAAAATAAACCACAAACAGCTGCGGTACTAAGTATGTCTGGTAGTTTTCCCCTTTGCCATGAATGAACCCATCAATCTGTATCTGGCGGATACGCTGGCATGTGGAAATCCAGACGACACGTGTTTCCATATTCATAATTCACCGAACGAGCGCTCCGTTTTATCGCCAATTGTATAAGCTGGCGGCGGCGGAATCATGCAAAAATTACGTTCTAAGCGTGCAATGTTTATTGTATTTTCAGAACCCCTTACCCTCCTAACATTGCGCAATGTGCATATTCATATGTTTTGTTTGTCCATAGTGAAAATGCAATGGCAATTTGCATTTAATTTGTTGCATTTGTCTGTGAAAATGCGTCTTGACAAAGTCTATAAATGCAGATAGGGGTTCCTCTAATCGTCTAGATTTTAAAACCCTTTAGTTATATGGAATTTGAATTTTAAATGCACCTATGGACAGGCCCCTTATAAAAATGATTAGAAAATGATATATATGTCTAGGGGAAAACATGTAAATTGTTTCTATGAAATGTAATATTAGACTAAGTTTTAATCATGATAAGAAATCAATTATAAAATTCTTTCAATGAACATTCGTTTGAAAAATGTTTTTTCCAAGCTTTATAATTTATGAATCTAACTCAGAATTGTTCACAACTTGGTATACGGAAGTTTGATGAAAAGAAACTCACTCTGTTAAATCGAAATCACCTTTCCAATTTGTGATGGTGGGAGCAACAGGCTAAACACGTGCAGACCAAAACAAATCGAATTGACGCTTAAATTATTCAGTAAACCCCGCCAGACATCTTCCAGCATATGATATTAGCCCAGGCAATTCTCACGCAAACTAGTTTGTCTTGTTCAGCTCCAGATCGGTAGTATTCTATATAAATTAGCCGGCTGACTGGTGATCCGATCGGGCATGAATTATGCGCTAAAGAAATAAAAGTTTTGCGTCGCAGAAACATTCGAGAATTTCCGCGATTTGTTTGCAAAGTTTGGGCAGTGAGCAGATACATTTTCACCCGCCAAACCAGTTGGAGTTGTTTGTATCCATCAGATACTTTGGCCTGGCCTACGATGATGTGCTGCACTTTTTTCACTCGCATTTATCGCTGGCTCTTTTCACTCTTTCTCGCATTTTCTGCGCAATTATTATCTTTTTCGCCAGCTATTTTTGGCCAAAAGAAATGTTTTCCTTTCTTGTAGTTAGTTGAGGGGCCAATGCACCTAAAACCCCAGCAAAACATCCAATTTGCCTTGCCTTATCGAGCCTCCCAGTTCGTTGAACCTTTTCTTTTTGGGTGAGGTTTTGACGAAATGCTGCTGCCTAATGCTGCACCCCGTGGCTTGAAGACTCTGAAGACTTGCAGAGATCCCTGGGATCGGAGGTCTCGTCTCCAATTTCCCATTTTCCCCAGACCAGCTGTGTGGGGCAACTTTCCCATTCGCTTTTGACACAGTTTTCGCCTGCACTTGGATGATTGAGGTGATTGGGTCAAGAACTGCTTGGTTTCCTCAGCCCCATGTCCGCAATTGTTTTTATGGTAATCTAATCTCGGGCGTTTCTATTATCTTAGACTAGAAGGTAAACAGAATAAAGTGCAGTGACGTAAAGACCCAAATAAATTTGGAATGTATTTGGATTTCATTGAGGTTTATTTGATTTTAAACAGTTACAAGAGGAAGGTATATTTAAATTGTCATGCTTTGTCAGGAAAGGAAGGGGGTGTTTTATGGGTCCATAAGATATGTATTTCAAGCTTAGAGTTCTCCAATGAGAATCTTCATAAACTAACCGAGTATCCATTGTTTAATTTGCTTATAACTTAATCTTTTCTCACTGACCTGGTCCAATTGCCTTCTGTAATCTCGCGAAAGTCACAGGACATACCCCATTAAACACGGCCAGATGCTTGGCAACAGATGCAGTTGAACTCTCTTCGAGATTGCCGCAAACAAACAAAAGTGCAGGGGCTTGTTATCGGTCAGAAGCTGTAAGAAATGCTTGATTCATTGCAGTTTACCCAAGAGGAATAAATAAAAATGCAAATGTTATAAAAATACATCTGCGAATGCACAGCAGAAGATTATGTACTCGTGGAGGAAACATATCGATTATCATTTTCATTCAAACAACGCGTGAACGCCGGGTGTGGTGATCCCATATTCTAAGGGGAAACCTATGGAATGCCTAGTTTTATCTACACCCAGTAGTTGTATGTCGGGAGGGTATACCAACTAACTTAAAATGACAATAAATAACATAGTAGTTTGGAATCCAATAGGATCATCTGCTCTTACCAAAGTTATCCTAAACCTAACTCAGTTTAAAACGTTATGTTAACTTGTTAATAATCGATCATTAATATAAAAACGCACTGTGCTTCTGGCGGAAGCGAATGGGCAGAGATAACTATAATATATACCAAGAATAATTATGGAGATAGGGTAAATCCACGTCGATACCTTCCTACCAGACCATCCACTATCCGAGGTGAGCTCCCTTGTAGTAGGAAAACTTGTTTAAGTTTACACTTTCGTCTTTTGTTTTGAGTTTTAGCCAGGGACAGACGGCGGAAAGAGCAAACACAGACAAAGAGTCATTGTCACCTGCTAAGTTAATGGCAAATAAGGTGACCACATCCGGGGGTGTCGGGAATAAGGGTACCAGGAGGCGCAGTTAACGACGTCGGCCTTATCAGTGGGGCGATTCAACCGGTTAACTCAACCCAGCCCCGTCCGTTAGCTGTTAACTGCAAGTCCCGGCCAAGTTCGTCACTCGAGCGCTCGAGTAAACAATCTTATTCCCCGCAATTATGGACCTGCCCCTGCTCCTTTTGTCTGCCCGCCGGTTGAATGCGTTTTTGCGTATCTAATAATAACATTTAACCGAGCGAGACCCTCCGACGTGTTGGGGCCCTCGTTTCTCAAACGGGGGATTTGCATTTTTCGCATTTCCCCGTTTCGCTGCGTGCTAATTGAAGCAAGCCAAAGACATTTGCCCAAGGAGAATGTAAACATTTGGAAGGCAAATTGTGGCAGCAGCTGTATGCAAAGATTATCGGGTTTAGATAAAAGGAGGCACACTCCATGGGAATCAGTGCTTCCCACAAAGGCAGAGTTCAAAAACCCAAAAGGAAAAATATTTAACATTTTGATTGAGGTCGATGTGCATCGTTTTTATAAACTATTTTTTACCCATTACTCGTGAGTAAAAGGGTATATTAGATTCGTCGGAAAGTATGTAACAGGAAGAATAAAACGTTTCCGACTCTATTAGTACATATATATATTTCTTGATCAGGATCAATAGCCGAGTCGATCTAGTCATGTCCGCCTGTCCGTCTGTCTGTCCGTCCGTATGAACGCTGAGATCTAGGAAACTATAAAGCTAGATTATAGGAGCGTAAGATTCTTGAACTCCTGCGCAGCGTTTGTTTCAGCAGGTGCCCCTCCCACTCAAAATTTAAATGAGATTTTGTTCTTATTATCAATAACCATCAGCATGTCAAAAATTATTCAAATCGGACATTCATTAAAAAGTTATATCCAAAGTAATCAATAACTATCAAATTCAATCGAGAGTGCACACCACTTGCATTAAATTGGCTGTTTTACTAACACGCCACCTAGCTTATAACGCCACCAAGCCTATAGCGCCCCTATCGTCTGTTAGTGGTGTGCAATACCTCCATCCCTCTCGCAATCCCTTTAGCTGAGTAACGGGTCGAGGCCATCGACTATAGCGTTTCCTTTGTTAATTATTGTTATGGCTTTTAATTACATATGCCAAATTTAATACAAAATTTTTCGCTTCATTAACCAATTAAAATGAAATCGACCACCTTTCTATGCGATTCTCACAATTGCTAGCTAAGTTCTATAAACCCAGGTTATTGATTAAGAATTAATAACCTATAAAAATTCAAATAGTCAAAATTGTATATCCGGTTCAATACAAGAGACTCAAAAGCGAATGACCGCTAAAAAGATTTATTTTTTTTAAATTAATTTGTTTATATTATTCACACATATTTTCAACACTCCTTTGTGGTCGATTTCAAAACAAGTTGAAAATGGGAAATGGTAATACATACAGTATTTGGTTTTGCCAGTTTTGTGTCAATTAAATTCCCATGCGAATAAATTGAGTCATTTCGCTGACTTTGGTTTGTAATTGGGTTAGCCGTTCGATGACTTTGAAGTGAGTAACCCCTGATTAAATATTAATGAAATGGTTCTCCTCCTCTGTTGCAGAAACACATGCCGGTGGCCATCAAGTGCATCACGAAGAAGGGACAACTGAAGACCCAGAATCTGCTCGGCAAGGAGATCAAGATCCTGAAGGAGCTCACCGAGCTGCACCACGAAATGTGGTGGCTCTGCTGGACTGCAAGGAGTCCCAGGATTGCGTTAGCCTGGTCATGGAGGTGAGTTCGGCATTAAACCACATTAAAGTAACCGCATAGCGAAGCGAGAAATTCATAAATATTTAATGCTTTTATGGCTAAAACGTGTGTGAGTCAGTTCATTCAGATGATATCGTATGGGAGGTGCAAAGCGAAGTGCACGTCGGCCAGTTCCACGTCATTCCCCCTCCCCCAAAGATCCCGCCTCCACCCACTTCAGCCCTCTCTTGACCAAAATGCTACGCCATTAATTGCGGAAGTTGCGAAATGAATTCGTAAACAAAAATAAAGTAAGAATAGAATGGTAAAAGCGATTTGCGCCGAATGGCTGCTACTCACTAATGCTTCGATTGAAATGCTTACACTTTAACTGACAGCTCAGGAAACGTGCTACAATTTACAGTTCCAAAAGAAGAAGTATAGTTTCTGAAATACAAATAAATAATAGAAATTTGTTACTTTATACCTATATTTAGCAAGGCCTAATCTGCTAACATTAATCTATTTTGATTGTATTCCTAACATTAGATACTATACCTTTTTTTTCCTCCTAGCTTTCTTATGTATTTTTTGTTTTGTTGCTTTTTCTCTTTTTCGGTAATACGCATTTTGTTAATTTACAATACAAGAGAGCATTGGATACCTATATACATTGGTTTTTAACCTCAAGTTTGTTCAACTCAATTTGGGTTACAGGTGTTTGCAGGCTTTTAGCGTTCAGTGTTTATATACAGTCTATTATCTTGAAATTAGGTCAAATGCGCGTGGCACGAGAATTAGCTTCCTTTTGGCTGGCATTTTCACTGATAAGATTGGATAGGGTTGTTTTCTTATGAATACCCTTGGAAACGGGAATGAGATGGGTTATTAGAAGGAAATTCCGTGCAGGGGAATACTAACTTAAAAGATACTCCGAAGATTAATGTTGACTAGTATGTATAAGGTTTCTAGCGACTTTACTTTTGAAAAATCAAAGTTGTTCTGATTTTTAAATATTTTTATATAATATAATGTTGTAATAACTTTATTACTGAAGAAATATTTCTAGCACACTTTCAAGTTCCATTTTTGGTTAATAATGTATCTAGTATTTTGTCAGAACTTAAAAAAGTTTGTAAGTTTGTTAAATCAGGGGGAAGGGTGTTTCCAAAATAGTTTTAATCGAACCCCGAATCTCTCGCTTTTTGTTTTGTTTTTTATTTGCCTTCCAACGCCCCATTGTTGTGGCCACACGATTGCATGTCATCGTAGTACATACATAGGTGGAGCAGACTATAGCTGATGGGGGTAGAAACGCGATAGGAAGGGAGTGTTTCGTTTCATCTGCTGTTTATTGTAGTAGTTGGTACATATTCGATCGGCTGACTTTGGCCCCATTCGCCTTGTTTGCTTTGTATTCTAATGTGTTTGCCACCAGAGAGACACAGAGGAGTCCGCTCCCCGGTCTGTAATCAGTTCGTTTTCGTGTTGTTGATGAGTATTTATTGGTTCTGCGGCCACGTGCTATGCCATCCCGCTTTCCCACCATTCTGGCTGCTTCTGGTTCGTCCGATTTGTTTATGTATCTTGCCAACATTTTACGATGTGTTTATTTGGTGCTTAATTTTGTTGTCTGAGCTTAGGCATGCTATAGGAAGAGGGTGGGATAACAACCAAGGTTACTTGGTGTTATGTTTCAGGAAGTTTTTTCACAGTTTGCTTTCAAAAAGCAATGTAAACATACCCACGCTTATTTACTTACCTACCCATGTACACACATACGTACCTTAAATTCATATTACTAATTATGAAATTTCATTTTCTTTACTATTTACAATAATTACTTTTATTGTATTTTGGCAAAAGTCTATAGCTAGAGTATCTAAAGTAGCTAGGGGTTACATTAATTTAAGTGTGCGATGGAAATTTATTTTGGATCTAAAACTAGAGTAGTGCCAGGAGTTTGAATGGGATCCCATTTACCGAGTTCCCCCGATGAAAAGAGCGCTAAGCGACTAGGCGACTTATCCTACCCCGACTAACAATTAGAGTCTAACAATGGAATCGGGGAGTTCGTTTCTTTGTAGCAGTTGTGAGGGCAAACAATGTAGGAGAAACTATAATTAGGTGTGACGACGGCTGGAAACCGAGTCAAAGTAGTTAACTAATTAGCCATATACATACACGACGTATACCTATTTATAATCTATCAAAAATGCCGGCAAATGGAATTAGTTCTCGAAACTGGAGGATAGGATTCACTTTTCTTCTCTGCTTGTTTTGGCTTTTGGAAGGTTTCCTTAGGCTAGCTTATTCAATGGTATCTCCTCAGTGGGATGGACCTGATCCTTTGGTTCTGGTTTGCTAGTGCGGCAGCATTTGGTTTTGATGCCGCCAATATCCTTGCGGCAAATGAGGCCGATGACGATGCCAATCACAGCCAAAGCCATGATGCCTGTGGGAAATATTAGACAAATTAGTTAGGTTTATATGAGAGTCAAGCAATTGTAACTCAAGCGACCATTTGTTTAAGATTTCATTGCATAATATTCTCTATAACCATTTCTTATCGTGGGAAATGGCCTTGCATTTGAAAAACTAGTCAAACAATTAAGTTTGTAGATTTACAAAGACACGTCTTAATAACTTTAAGTTTCTATAAGATACTCATTTGAAGTGGAGTTCATAATTGAACCAAACCAGTTTAAATTACAGAAAGATCATTGGTACTACTGCCGACTCCTAAACTTGTTTTGACAAATGGCGGTTGGAGGTACACATATGACTTGAATTCTAAGCGGAGTAGTACTCACAGATGAGCAGGGTGTTGATGGCCTCCGGGGAGATCTCCACCTGGTTGGTCTTGCTCTCGGCAGGCGATTCCACAGTCACTCCGCTTGTGTTGGTGGCGGCAGTGAGGATCCCGGCTTTGACCAACTCCGTGCTGTTATCCATCTTTCCCCGGTTGCGATTGGCTACAGATATAGGGTAAACGAGCGCCACGTTAGCAAGATTGTATTATATTATGGGAGCTATTGTCATAAAGACATCTCACCACTTCTGGGCGGTGCGGGCGTGGAAGTAGCTGGCTTTGGAGTGCTGGTCGCTATGATGGGAAGACCCGGAAGCCCCGGAATCCCCTTGGTAGGCGGTTCCGTGGGATAGATGAGACTGCCGTTGAAGGGGGTGCCCAGTACGAACTCGTAGCAGCTGATGTCAAAGTTGAGGAAGCTGATCGTGTCTATGGAGGACAGCAGGCCGCACAGCTCCTCGATGTTCTGCTGCTCCAGCTCCGGCAGCTTCAGTTTAATTATTTTTGTTAGCGGCGAGAAAGCTTTCGTATTGATTTGCTGTCGGAATGAAAAAGCGAGAGCGGGACAACTATATATGTGGTTGTGTGGGGGCAAACACAGCTGTTTTCGAGGCTGCGCCAACTATCGATAGAGCGATTGCTCCAAAACGATAGCAGTGTTATCGCACTTTTTGGCGCCCGATTCTCACCTGTTTGAAGTCGTTCTTGTTCAAGCGGAGCACCTGCAGGCTGCTCATGTTCTGGAACGTCTGCTCCGGCAGCTCCGTCCAACTGCAATTGACGCAGTTGAACTCCACCAGGTCGGGCTGGTTCAGAAAGGAGCCATCCAGCCGCTGGGCTACGGAATTGTTGCTTAGGTCGAGAAGAGTCAGTTCCTTAGCCGCCGAAAATGTGTCGGGATCGATTTTGGTGAGGCGGTTGTTGGCCAGCCGAAGGCGTTGCAAGCGCTCCGATCCTTGGAAGACCTGAAATTTTAAATAATGTCATTACATTTAGGGAAATAGTGGCTGAAATGAATTACAAAGGAACTTATTCTGTATTATTAGTAGACTAAGAAAAAACTGAAATTTACTTGTTATAATACGTAAACAAATTGTAGTAAACCATGTGACTTTAAAAAAATCGAAGACACTATTTATATGACTAGAAAATAAATATTTACAAGAAATAACACTTGAAAAATTTAAAATCCCTAAAATCCCGTGCCAAGACTTGTAAATACATTTGTTTGGTACCCATAACTTCAACATTTTTTGGACAGGTTTTTTGTTTGTTATTGAATCACCTACCTCCTTGTCTATGTGGCTGATCAGATTGTGATTCAGGTTGATGTCCACCGCTCTGGAAAGATTGGCGAAATCCTCTGGCCTCAATTCGGCAATCACATTGTGGCTCAGATCAATGATGGCCGCCGTCTTGGGCATGTCCAGGGGCACATGGGTCAAATGTGCATTCGCACACTGGACGTACTTAAAGTCCTCCAGGCAGAGGCAGTTGCGCGGGCAACTGGGCTCCAGGACATGGTTGCTGCGTCTTGGTATATCTGTGAAGTAACTCTTAGCTTTTCTTCTTTTAACCAATTTAATTTTACTCACTAAATATTGGTCGAAATGTGGTGGTGGTCGATGTGGAGGATGATAGTGGCATCAGTCTATTTTCTGCTGTCTCCGGCGCTTCCTCGCCTGTCGTTACATCACTGTAATCATCGTCGTCATTATAATCAAAGTCCTCGGGGGCACTGAGCGACCGATTTGACTCCTCACTGCCCGCTGGAGCGGCATTTGTGTGGCTAATGCTGAAAAATTAATTTAAGTTTAATGAATGCTTGTTAAGAACCGCAGTAGACGAACAGTATCCAATTCTGGAGTATTTCTCGACGTTTAAAGACTTATAAAGCATTGAATTTCAAATCTATTCCCATTACTTAAGAAGAAAAACGCAGGGCAATTACATTGCAAATTGATTCGCATTTCTGATAGAGCAATTACTTGACAAATTTGTAAAGTGGTCTTACCAAAAGGCCAAAATTGTCAATATTTGGCTTTGGATTGCTGGTTCTAGGCAAAAGGTGCTTACATCATTCGCGTCTTGAAGGCGAACACACCTCGCTAATTTGTCCTGAAAACGCTCTTGACCTATTTTCTTATAGACACGCCATAGCCACACAGAAACGTTCGTTTTCCCCACTATCATTATACGCTTTTGTTTATGTTTGCTCCGCGGAAGAGCATGAATGAATATAGCCACATATGTTTGAGAGCAGACATATAAGTATTTCTCTATACAGCTGCCGACAAAATAATAGGCCTCAGTTTAATGGAATTTCATTTAGACAAGAGTGACTAATAAATTCATCAGGGGATATACATAGATAGTGTACTATTTAGGGATACAATTAATTGAAGTGCAATCAATCAAAAGTTATATGTTTTATGAAAAATCAATATTTTTTTTTAATATTTAAATTTAAATCAACTTACAAAAAGACATTGGAAGTGTCATAGAACAACTTTTATACTTTCTTGTTGCTTGTTTATAACATGGTTATTTCTGGTCTTACTTTCCCGAAACTTACTGTATATACCTCAGTTAAAAACACATAAAAAACCAGTTTACTTCATGGCAAAGAGACAACTTGACTGGTTTTACTTTGCGATTTCGTTTACTCTCACTTTATCTGTTTTGTTTTTTGCCGTGATGTTTAGCCCCTCTTAACTTGGCTCGCCTGATTCTAAATCGTTCGTTATCCTGCTTTAGACGACTTCAGTTCTAGTGGGGGTGTGTGAAAAAAGGGGGGAATGTGTTGGTAGAGTAGCTCAAGTGAGTCTTAAAACTGCCATTTAGCATTCTCTTCAATTGCGTGACTTTTGAGTGAAGTTTCAATGATTGTTGAAGACCCTCGTCAGACCATAAAAGTGCCTAATTTGATAGAGTAAACGACTTGCTTGAAGCAAAACTGGTGTTCCCAGTGTGCGGTTCCTTGAAGTGCTGATAACAAATGCATTTATTGGTATATTCCTACCGGATAATAAAGATATTTTTATCGAACGTAACCGAATTGCCTTCAAGCTTCAGCTCACTCAAGTTAATGTGCGTTGCGAAAGATCTCTAAACAGTAACTAAGCACGACGACCTAGTCGAAGTAATTCCCCTGACTACTTGAACGAATGGCTAAAATCGGAAGCGACGCACTCAAAAGCACTCTACTTTGACATTTGATTTGAAGTGGCTGAGAAGGCTAGGAAAGGCCCAAAAATCAATAGGAAAATGGTATTAAGTGCACTGCAAAAACTGTCTTAAAAGGTTTTTATAAGAATTACTACAGGAAATCTGAGTCATAAATTGATGTTACCATGAAAATAAGAATAGCCTAGACAGTTGTAAGTTTCTCTGGCAGTGCTATTTCTATTGGTTCGATATTCCTTGAGAAATTCAAACCGCTGACCAAACAAATTTGATAAGGAAGAACGGTATAAATTATCGGGCAACCGGGCATTGTTATTATTTTTATCAGATTATGCGATATGATTAGGTAGAGTGTAAATTCGCGCACATAATATATAATCAGCGGCAATTAAGAGCTGTTGCCGTGGTCTATCAATAAAAGTTGCTATTTTTTATAACCCCGTGCGTGAGTATTCCATTCGGCATTGATATCTCAGTTGAGGAGGGTCAAAGTCCCGTTGTTCAGGTTCACCTGTCGTTATTTCGATTCGAGTGAATTAATCATTACGAATGTTGCTCAACGGAAACTTTGCCCCTGTCTTTCTTCTTTCGTTTTTAGCAAGGGTTTTTATGGGTGCATATGGTATAAATAAATGTATTACTTTTCCTGCCCTATAAGAATTTCAAATTGTTTGTTTAATACATCGCGAGATCTTTAAATATTTATTGGAGTTAGAGTCGGAGTTGGATTTTACCTTACGCTCAGCAAAAATATCAGGAGTAATCCAAACTTGTAATACACGTGCATTATTATTTGTTATTTGTTTAATATTACTTGTTTAGCTTTTGTTTTCACTGCGTTTTCAAGGCTTGATGTTAAAATTTGTGTTTATCTATGGGATTTCATTTCATTTTCTGTGTATTTGCCAAAGTTGTTGGGGAAATTAGCAAGCTGAAAATAGATTTTATTAATTTTTCGGGTGCTTATTTCTGCCTTGTTTTTCACTTTTCACTTTTAACGTTATTCTGTTTTGGTTTCGAAATATATTTGTGAGTATTTGTTTGATTGCATTTGCCGGTCTACTTTTTCCTGAATAAAGTAATTCTTTTTGCAAGCTTTTCACTCCGCTCGCACCAACTTTTCCACTCGCTGTCGATTCTCAAATGAGCAAAAAACTCGCCAGCAAATCCGATGGCCCCACTGTACAGGTGTGTGTGAGCACAAAGAGAGAATATTATCTCTCTTCCCTCTATCTCTCTCTTTTTTAATCATCCCATGTTTAGTTTAATGTTTTGATGTGCTATGGTTATCTTATCAGTTATTAATATTTTATATTTGATTCCCTCATCTCTCGGGTTTTTTACTAACAAGCTACTTAAGCATTACTAATTTATAAGAGTTTTACTTTATTGTCTCTGTTAAAATGGCATTAAAAATGTTTATTAATCAGTAGTTAGAACATAATTTGTTTATTTTTGAATAAGTCTTTTGGCTTTTTGTAATAAAAAGAACTCTAAGCTTACAGTGAGGTCTTTACACAAATATTAAATTTAAAATTTACATTTAAGGGAAAACATTGATTGTATATTAATAATATGGATAAGAATAGAAAGTTATGCATGGTTGAAGCTGGGCACTTTCATCAGTCTATGAATATTGCTGATCGCATCACTTTTATTCGGTATATATGTACACATATTAATTAAAAGCAGAACAAGAAACCCATTAAACACAAACTGCTTTGTATAATAAAATTCATTTCGCACTTGTCAGATTAAACCTAATGTCAATCATAATGAACTTTGCTTTGACTTGCAAGTCGGGGCTGTCTTTTGATATAACAGATAGTGTTCCTCCACAGTTTATTTACAGAATTTGCTGGAAAAGTGAAACGCTGAGGCTGAATCATTTCGATTAAGTTAAATACGTGATTTGAGTGATAAGTTTGTTTGAATATTTGAATGAGAACCGCTTGATTCACTTGGGTAATAAGTTAAACTCTTGTTTTAATTCCGTTTCTAGGGTCTTTGTGTTGTGATTACTGGGCACAATGTATAGGATCGTTGTTTTTATCGCCTAGACTGTGTTGACCTTTAGTCCATTGGGTTTACTCGGAATGACTCGCGTCGCTTTTTTATTGTGATGTGAAACACTTTGGAGTTCTGTTTTGATTGTAACTTTGCGTTATATTTCACCAGTATTTTAGCTAACTTTGTTTCTTGTGGACTTTTGCTGCGCGGTAACATGTGATTCGGTCGAGCGTCGATTTGAAAATGAGGTACGAATGGAACCGCAGAAGCAGCGAGCTCAGCCAACTGAGAGATACAATCGGGGGTCTGAAGAGAGTCTTCTCTTCAAAGCTCTCTTCATAATCACTGCTTTAAAAACAGAGAACCCCAATTGTTTTTAAATTACGCAAGTGCATTTTCCAATAATTCGCTGACTCATGCGCACTTGTTGCCGGGAAATAAAAATTATTTTAAAATTCAGTCTGGTTCTGCATATATTTTAAATGTTTAAAGCCCCAGAACTCAAAAAACCCTCCCTGTAGCGAGTGTTTCCCCCTTTCTTTTGGACTTTTACTTTTATATTTATGTGTGTTTGCCATTGCCTGATGTCACTTTACATGTCAATGACTTGTTTAATGTTCTTTTCTCTCCGCTCCTCTACTCGGAATTTTTTCGCTTTTCAAAAAGCGAGTGGAGTGAAATCTTTTGTCATTTCAATTTGGCTGTTTAATTGCCTAATTTTGTTGTTGTCGCTGCCATTGCTGGCTTTGTTTGCTCATTAAACTGTAAGTGGTCCATATAGTTTCTCATGGAAAACAAAAAATCCATAAAATGTTCGCCGCACACACCGCTCGGTGGGTTTTAGAAGTGCTTATGTATGGAGCTCTATAGTCATGTCTTTGATTGGCGGCTCCAAGGTCAAAAATAGCAAATCCTTTTTGGCAACTTGCTCAGGCCAAAACAACGGCATTTCGGAGAGACTGGGGCTCTCTTTATTTACATTTTACCGAGGGTTGCTTGTAGAATTCATTTTTCAACTGAAAACCTTTTTAAAGGTTTATAAAATTTCTTAGGAAATAAATCCGAGGTTTTTAGAATCACTTGGGGCTCTTATGGTATTCAAGGTAATTTAAGTTTTTAGAAATAAATTAATCAATATTTCGGATCTTACGTACTCCGAAAGTAATGTCGCGAATTCATTGGAAAAGGATGGCTCAAAGTGAAAAAAAATCCAAACTTTAAACTCGACTGATTTTTGATTGGATCTAAAAAGCTTTGGAGTTCTTTGGATTGACATTATAAAAATAACAATAATGTTCTGCTCTTTGATTACGAACGGCTTTTTTTAATGTGGAGACCTAAGCCTATGAATCACTTTTTATTGGAGGTTTCGATGTATAAATAAATGTATTCCTAGATATTCATCGCAACTTTTCTCCTAACTCATTTTTCCTCTACTGCCGAAATAAACCGGAACTGAACTTTTGTTAGATAACCGACAAAAGAAAAAGCAGCTGGCTGATGAACATTTCCCTAATTCCAGTTCTTGATTCAGAAAATTGTCATAAATCATATTCGCTTTGACCTTGTTGTTTTCTGTGACAAAAGAAGCTCATCTGAATGGCGAAGACAGATGGAAGACCGACTGACTGAATCTCGGGGCTCTTGCATTTTCGCACTGATTGGACCTAATTCATTTGCATGGGTCGCACTTTGTTTTGAGGTCTTGGGGTCCCAAAAGATTTATGTGCGGGCTGATCTCTTGACTCGTGCTCGGGGAAGCAGCTCTCTTAGCTCGATTTTCCACCTCTGTAGCCCCACTCACTCTTTCTCTGTGTCACTTTCTCTTTACAGTACTGCAATGGAGGCGACTTGGCGGATTATCTGAGTGTTAAGGGAACGCTGAGCGAGGATACCGTAAGACTCTTCCTCGTGCAACTAGGTGAGATTGAAGTGTTTCCCGGATAAAAACTTATCTCCAACTAACATTTGTAAATTAATTAATAATTAATTAATGTTGATAAAAGCACGTATAATGTATTTGCTATCTAATTAACTTTGTTTTCTCCTAATTCCAGCTGGTGCTATGAAGGCACTTTATACCAAAGGAATTGTGCATCGTGATCTCAAGCCACAAAACATTTTGCTATCGCACAATTATGGCAAGACATTGCCAGCTCCATCGAAAATAACCCTGAAAATAGGTGAGTTACATATCAACATAAAATACACGGAGAAATTTAAATCTCAAAGTACTTAGAAACCCATTAAGATTAAAGCTAACTGAAAATTTATTTGTGTAAAACAAGTTTTTGCTGCATAAAAAGCTTTCACTTCTTGTCACTTTTTATATTTTGTACGAAACTTGTTATTACCAATTAAATTAATTTATGGCTATGAATTTTGTTTATTTAAGTGCCTAATAACAAGTAATAATTACTTTAAACTCTTCTTTATTACAGCCGATTTTGGGTTTGCGCGTTTTCTGAACGAGGGCGCCATGGCAGCCACTTTGTGTGGCTCACCCATGTATATGGTAAAGATATAATACCCCAAAATACCTACCAAAAGAGATAATAATATAAACATTAAATTTACACAGGCTCCTGAGGTGATCATGTCGCTGCAGTACGACTCGAAGGCGGATCTCTGGTCGCTGGGAACGATTGTCTACCAGTGTTTGACTGGCAAGGCGCCATTCTATGCACAAACGCCCAACGAACTGAAGTTCTACTACGAGCAGAATGCTAACCTGGCACCAAAGTAAGATCCCCTGCAGTCCCCACCATGAATGGAGATTATTTAAACCTCTTTTTTAGAATTCCAAGTGGCGTGTCGCCAGACTTGAGGGATCTGCTGCTGTGCCTGTTGCGCCGCAACGCCAAGGACCGCATCTCGTACGAGAGCTTCTTTGTGCACCCGTTCCTTCTGGGCAAGAAGGCGGCCGCGTCGCCAGGTGAGCCAAGCCTAGCAGCCAACCTGCGGCGGCGAGTCTCTAAGAGTGGTGTTCTTGCAGTTGACATGCCACCGCTGGGCGGAACCCCGCCTGCCAAGGCCAAGAGCCCCCTGCAGCAGCAGCTGGAGCAGGAACTGCAGCTGGTCAAGCTGGCCGAGCAGCAGCAGAAGGAGCGCGAGGAGCAGGAGGCCCAGGAGGAGGAGAACACGGGTAGGTGTCCTGCGATGGGCCCCAAATTGGGCACTGTGTTTACTTGCATAATTAAGAAAGTTAGACAATTTGTATGTTTACAAGATCTTACATATTTATTTTTAAATTGCCATAAGATTGATTTAAGATTATTTTTATTGAAAGTTTTCACAAAATCTTTTTTATTTGTTATGTACTTTTTTTTTATAAATTTTGTATTATTAATCGAGTGTTTTTCAAACATCATAAACGGCCACAGTTCAAGAATACCTCACTAAACCTGAGAAAGACTGATAATTATTTGGGGAAATATAGGAACTAGCATTCGAGCTTTATTTTACATCTTTGTATTAATTTAAAAAAAAAAAGTGGTTTAATTGAACGTAAAAGTGTGCCAAGTTGTGTGAATTTTAAAGGTTAGTGATATAAATTGGAATATATGTATGAATACCTCGGCACTGAAACGTTAATTTTTGTGAATATATAAATCTAACATACTAAGACTAACATGTAATATGGTTTTACTGATATATATTATATCCTCAAGCGAAAAGCGAAAAGTAGAAAACCCAATTTAATAGTTGTAAAATTTTTCAAAATGCAATGCTAAATATCTATTATTTTCTAGTGTCCGTAGTGGCAAATCCGGCCATTTGTGCCACCATCACCAACGTGGGTGTGTTGTGCGACAGCGAGAACAACACCGGATCGTGCAGCTCCCACGAGGACTCCGATGACTTTGTGCTGGTGCCCAAGAACCTTCCGGAGGATCAGCGCCAGGGTCTGGCCCAGGCCCAGGCCCAAGTTCAGCCCGCTTCCGGTGGCCAGCGTCCACAGCCGCAACAAAATCAATCCAGTCCGCCACGCCCCAGCAGTCTGCCCATCTCTGAGCCCAAGCCAGTGCCAGCTCCGGCCCGTCGCCAGGTGGCCAACAACCCGGCCAGCTCCCCGGCAGGCAGGGCTCCGGACCATTGACGGTGGCTACTCTGGGCGGCCAGCAAATACCCCGATCCCAGCCCATTAGCGTGAAGCAGCCGCGACCGGATCAGCGCAAGAGCAGTGTCAGCAGTGACATCAACTCGATCTCGCCGCCGGCAGTGCAGTTTGCCATTGGAACGCCGCCCACGCGGATGCGCTCCGCCTCGGGAGGATCGCTGTCGGAGACACCGCCGCCGCATGCTCCGAGCACCTGGCAGGTGTCGCCGGGACATTCGCAGTCGCCTTTGCGCCGGAGTGGCAACAGCTCCCCAGTTCTGCCGTCCGCAGCGCTCACGAAACTGCCCACATTGGGCAGTCCTACGATGCTTGTGGCTCCGGGATCACTGGGATCGATTGGCTCGGCAGGCAGTGGATCGGAGAACAATAACCAGCACCATATGCTGGGACCGCGAGCTTTCACGCTACCCGAACTGGGGGCCACTGGCGGGCTGCATAGTCTGCTGGACACAGGAGCCGGCGGTGGTGGCGAACCACATGCATTCCAGGCCCCCGAGCTGTCGGAGGAAACGCTGATGGATCGCGAGCACAACGAGACCCTGTCCAAGCTGAACTTTGTGCTGGCTCTCACCGATTGCATTCAGGAGGTGGCCGACTCGCGGTGTGCACCGCTCTCCACGCTCATGGTGGCCGGCAGTCAGTCGGCGGCAGCAGCGGCGGCGGCGGATGCTCAGCAGATACCGCCTCACGCCCCAGAACATTGCAAACGGGCGGAGCGCCTGGTGTTGCTCGTCCGAGGGCTGCAGCTCCTCTCGTCCGGCATGAACCTGGCCTCGCAGCAGCTACGCAACGGCCAGCTGAAGCCGTCGTCCAATGTGAAGAATGGTGAGTGGAAGAGCTTCTCAATCAGAGCATGGAAGTCTATAATGTCTGTTGGTACCCCTAGCTTTGCTCACCATGAACGCCAAGTACAGGAGCATGCTGTTTGAGTCGAAGCGCCTTAATGGCAGCGGTCTGTTGCAGAAGGCGAATGCATTTAACATAACAGCGGACAAGATTCTCTACGATTACGCTCTTGATATGGTAAGGAACTCATTACTCTTTTCTAACTTCGTCTTATTAATTAATATATTTCTGTACCAACAGTGCCAGGCGGCTGCTTTGGATGAGCTTCTGAAGAACACCAAGAATTGCTTCGAGCGTTACAACACCGCACACATTCTGCTGCATTCTTTGGTGCAAAAGTGCAATCATCCGCAGGACAAAATGCTGCTGAACAAATGTAAGCCCAACAATAATTAAACTATATAGTTCACAACTCATTGGTTTATCCCTTCTTTATCCAACAGATCGCGATGCCGTTGAGAAGCGTTTGAGCATATTGCAGCAGCATGGCTACATCTACGTGACCGATGAGAATGCTTAACTATCTGGGCAGAAAGAGCTTTATTCCAACCATTTAGCACCGGCAATCTTCACAACATCAACAACATTTCCTTAAGTTATTCACCGTTTTCGTTGGGAGTGCAAACATGTGATTGAAACAAAAACTACACTATCCATACATAGACATACCGACAAATAATTTAAAGACCACCCACACATTATTTCTGGAGTTCTCAGTCCCCCAAAACTGTCCAATGTAAATAGTTTGAGCTATGCTGATATATGTAGTTTTTGTTTTTTATATTATTTTCGGCCCGCGCGGCAACCATAATTGTTAAAGCTTATATCGAGTGCAGATGCAACATGAATAAGGGCAGATAAGAGTCCATATAGTCGTAAGATAACCATAATATTATAAATATATATATGTTTACATATATATGTACAACACGAAAGCTAACCAAGCAAACCACATTACATAACGTAAAGGGCAATATGCAAGCCAAACTCAGTTTAATTCTATGTTTAAGGGAAGCAGCGGCAGAACCCAGATCCATTTATCATGTGCTAGAATTTTCCCCGTAGTTGTAAAGCCTATTTTCTTATTTAACAGTCTAATATTCCCCTATTATTATATTATAAACATACCATACAATATTTATGGCTGCACTACACAAACATGTTTACAATGTGCTATGTTCATAGTTTTTAGTTAGGTCTTTTCTAAAACAACTTTAAAGAGGTATTTAATTTTATGACAAGAACTTTATATTTTAAAGAAACTTATTAAGTTTTTCTACAACCGAAGCCCACAAAACTTTCGAAAAAATCTATATATGTATATGGTATACAAAAGAAGGAAACACATAAAAGAGTGTATAAAAAGAAATACCAACTTTAACTAATAAAAAGTAATAAGGAAAATCGTAAATCGTAAAGCGTTAATCATTCGATAAAATAAAGGGTATCTCTGTGTTAGTCGAGGCACTCGCCTCTTTTTTATTATTAAAATGTAAAATATTCAACGTAAAATTTAGACATGATGGTATTTATCCGTGGCGCATGCAGGTGATGTTTGAAGGACTTCGGTTATCCCGCTGATTGGACCGATTTATGTCCACTCCGCCCGCCTCCCACCGTCCGCTGTAGGGGGAGCTGAAATGGGGCGGAGCAGTTGGACGATATCCTGGCAGAGTTGAAACCGACTGCATTGGGACACCAGGTGGAGGGGGTAGGCCACAGAAGCCCGGATCGTTAAATATACTGTCGAAATTCACAGTAGTCCCAGCGGAGTTTCTCCTGCTGCTGGTCATGTTGACCGGCCTTTCCTTTGGCTTCGGTTTTGGAGGGATCTTCTCCAGCTGAGGAGGGGCGTTGCCGCCACAGCAACCACACGGATTGCAGCAGTAATTGCAGCAATTACAACAGCCATTGCAGCAGTTCGCGCAGTAGTAATAGCAGCCGTTGCAGGGATTGTAGTACCAGGACCAAGGACACGGGTTACAGCGGGCGGTGCAGCCGGAGGTTACGGGATAAGGTCCACAAGGAGATGGCTGGGATTCGTTTTCTCTGCAGAAAAATGGGGTACATGTTACAGGCCAGCACGGGTAAATATGTAAAAATATACTCGGAGATGAATATGCCTGTCAAAACCTTTATCGTAGAATCGTAGGCACTGACATCGTATTAATTGATATTCTTCAAAAAGAAAGGTTCCATCAATTTGGTTTATTGTCTTTAATAACAACCTTATTGGCCTAAACCATTTAAAATGAGAAGGCGAATTCTTCAGAAAGTCAATCTAATGTATACGATATTACCATCAAGGAATTCTTAAAAAAAGGTAACCTCGAATTCTTTAGAGCAAGAGGAACTAATGTTTACTACACTGAGAGTTTTGAAAATTAGCTTCAGATTGAGTCATGAATCAAATATATCTGTAAGCTCTTACCAAAAAATGTAAAGATCTCATGTCAAAAGATAATTTTTTTTAGTCATTCGATTCTACTCGACAAGATACTAGCATTACAAAACCATAAGACAAAAAGCAATTCGGTATTGTCAACATAAATATTTTTACTCTTGGAATTGGGATCGACATCGAATCATTACATTAAAGAATAATGATAATAAAATCCTTTATGGAGTTTGATATTTAATTTTATAGATTCTATAAGTTATAATATGTAACTCACACAGGCAGGTTGGCAGAGCAGCCGCAATTCTTCATTTCTGGTTTCGGCGGAGCGGTCGGACAAGGACTTTTGCAACCGCCCGGGCAGTTGGCCTCTTCAGGTCCTTCGGCTTCATCTCCTGCTGAACTTGCGAGTTCCTCGGCGTTGTTTGGTGTTTGAGGATACGGCACACTACCGATCATCTCTTTCGAGTCCTGCTTACTCATCTTGGCCTTGACTTTCGACGCTCCATTCGATTTTTTCTTCTTTTTGGCAGCCGGTTTCACCTGATCTTCGCGCTTGGCCTTCGGCATCAGGAGGTGACACCACTTTTGAAGATCACACGGAGGACAGGACTCGGTGATGCTGTAATGTAATCGGAAGACATTACAGCATTTTTTAGTATTTCGTGTAGTAAGAAAGAAGTTTGAGGAATAGTGGACTGTGTGTAAGTCTAATTATAGAGCTATATCAGCTCACGAACTGTGACATTAAACTCACCGGCTGAGAAGCTCCGAGCAGTCCTTCTTCTGGGCTTTCTCTTTTGCTGCCCTCGCGTTCTCAGGAGGTGGACAGTCTGTTTCTTCGGAGATGTAGTACGGATAATATTGGTTGTGGGGATCAAACCGCGTGCAATAACATTTAATGGGTTGCTCAGTAGAAGGTCTTTCCGATCCTTTTTACTTGACTGACATTTCGTCGAATTTTTACTTTTTTCTGGTCTTTCTTTCGATGCATTTCTGGATTTCGCGGAAGTTGTCTTTCATTATCTAGGCGTGGCTGTTCGTTCGACAACTTAACTGGTGCACAAACGTAGCATTTAATGGAGCACAGTCGTTGTAAGGATAATACTGATTGGAAGGGTCGATACCCATGCCCACACTATTTTGGGTATAAACCATATTCGATTCGGGTTGTCTATTGAAAGAGGCTCCCATCGATTATTTCTTTTTCTTGAGTCGTGCGTTCGAGTATCACCTTGCCGCAATTGCCACCAGTTGGCATAGATCTTGGAACGGATCTAGGATCATAATTTCTTCCTCCGCCATTATTAGGAGCTTTAGCTCCCCTTAATTCGGATGGTTTATCGATAGTACGACCCCTAGACTCGTTTCGTTGTCTTTGGGACTTCGACCTGTTATCATTATGAACCACAGATGACTTAGCTTGCCTGTTGATCTTAAATCAAATGTCGTCTTCCCCTGACTATGAGGATTATTTAGGTTGTTAGGTCCAGAGTGAGTTCCTGGATGCTGCTGATTAAATGCTTGGGTTCCTCTAAATTCGGATGGTTGACCTACGGACTTTGATCTGGCACCACCTTGACGCACCTGTCCCGTTGATGGCTGAGATTGGGGAACTTGTCGGGAATCTAGATTTCTCTGTCCGACATTATAATTATAGCTCTGATTGTTGGGTCCAAAATTCATGGCTTGACTTTGCTGGCCATAAACTGCTGGGGCTCCCGCAAAAATATTGTTTGCATGACTTGCCTTTGATCTATTGAATGCGGCTCATTAAATGGATTATACCCATTGTTTGGCCCTAAATTCATGCCGATACCCTCACAGAACTGGTTATAGGAGGGACCTTGTACCATTTCTGTTGGTCTTACAGCTGACATTTGTTGATTTCCACATTGGTAAACTTCTCCCGTACAGGGATTAAACTTTGATGAATATTGCGTGGGTAGACCTGCCGCCGGAGGACCTCGTGAACGACGAGCATCTCCCTGACCCACTGCAGATGACTGAGCCACTGGTAAAACCATGGGACCAGGAACTCCAAAGTTTCCATATTGGTTGGGTGGCGGAATCCCAAATATCATGGCATTTCCTGCCGGCCCGTAGTTCCATAGCATGGTATAATAGTAGGTTGCCCGGCTGAAAACCAAAGCCAGCCCCTGGAACTCCATGAAATCCTACAGCAGGAGCTCCATATCCATATCCTGCATCATTATCTTGCCCGAATTCTTCAGGATTTTGCTGTTCATTTCCATCCTTTTCTTTTTCACAATCTTCACTTGTTTCCTTACAAATATCCGCACACGGCTCTTTACATCGCTCTACACATGGTGTGCAACTCTTTGAACGTTTCTTTCTTTTCGGTGGCTTTGGCTGTTTCTGAAGAAAACTGGGTGGCACCATGTCCGAGAACTTCTGATACTCCCCGGGAAACACCACGCGACAATTCCGCGTATTAATAGGACAAGGTCGCGCACAGCAAGTAGGGATGGGACAGCATCTGAAGATGAAAGAGTTAGTCGATAAAGATAGGAACCATTCTATTACCATTACCCGCCATGGCAGCTGATGCACCTCCTTAAACATCGACATGGATCGCACATTTTGTACGTAAAAGTGTGGCCTTAATCTCCTCCTCCCGTTCAATATTCCACATTCACTCATGGCCAATTACGTGGAATTCACAAAGCAACATTTATAGTCAAAATTGTATAAAAGTAGACTCAATTATTTTTGATGTCTTAAACAAAGACTATTTTGTTACAGGTTGTACAAAAATAGAATTGGTTTATTGGAATTGACAAAATCTATAATGTAGGATTTAAGGCAGAGCCAACAAGAACTCTTTAAAAAATATTCCTTAAGGCTTTTTTTCCTTTGGTTTCAGTCTTTTAACTTTGGATATCGATTCCATTACCGCTGTTTTTGGTTTTAAACTTTCGAAAAGTGACATTACAAAATTGTATGTCACGCCAGAAAGCAAATTTAAACGGAAGTATTGTATAATTGACTTGAAATACTCGCATGATTTAAAAAAGCGAAAAGATGACCAACGGCGAAGTTCGGCCCACCAGGCCCAGTCCCTATTGGCGTCATGCCAGCCCCCCGAAGAGGACAACGACACCCAAATTCGACTTAACACCTGAGCAGACGACTAACCGAATCGGACAGCACCTGCTGCGAACCCTGGTTCAGAGTTTACCTTCTGGGGCGGAACCCGCGCGATCACGGTCATCCTGCCCACCCACACATCGTCGTCGCCGGCAAGTTAGTGCCTGCAGATCCTTAGGTACTCCGGAACCGGAGCCATCGATCAGGACCAGGGCACCGCTTAGATTGCAGGCGGGAATGCCGGTTAAGCAAGTGCTAGAAGGGGACCGACTCCTTCCAAAGGTCATTGGGCTGGGAAGAAATGGACAGCAGTCAGTGATGGCCGCTGTTAAGCGCCGCAGTGAGTCGCCATCATTCAAGGCCAAGACCAGAGAAGAGGAGTTCGACAGGATACCGGAGTTGGTGACGGGAGCAGCGACCGCCAGATCCCGAGAGGAGGAGTTCGAAAAGATACCATCCAAGGTATCTAGTATGCACCAAGATGTCAAGGACGCAGATAATGAAAGCGGGGAGAATTCAAAGCCAGAAACCCTGGAGGATTCCAAGCCGGAAACCCTGGTGAATAGTAAACCCGAAACCCAGGAGAATTCACAGCTGCATAGCCTGGACAACTTAAATAAGAGTAGTCAAGAAGTCTCAAACTCAAAAATAGAAGAGGATCAGGCCGCCAAGGAACCGGATCAACAGCAACCAGAGTGTGCGGCCAACTCAAAGATAATTCCATGCTTTCGGGGGGAATATCCCACGCGACATCGACCTGGCTCATATCAGTGGTTTAAGTCCGCAGTTCCCAATTGCGGAAATATCGTTACCATCTGCGATGAGGAACAGCAAATTATGGGCAAGGCGGAAATTGTCACCGCCTGCGAGGTGACCGAGGCTCACTTTTTGAGCATCGACTGTGAGGAGGATAACATGCCGGCGATTCCGAGGTGCAATAAGTGCAATGGTTGTCCACAACAAAACCGGCATGCAAATCGCTTGGATCTTCTGTAAGCGGCAACAAAATGCTTTCAGCAACCCTGCTTTCAGCAGCAACAACCCTGCTTTCAGCAGCAGCAACCCTGCTTTCAGCAGCAGCAACCCTGCTTTCAGCAACAACAACCTTGCTTTCAGCAGCAGCAACCCTGTTTTCAGCAACAACAGCCATGCTTTCAGCAGCAACAACCCTGTTTCAGCAGCAACAACCAAATTTTCAGCAGCAACAACCAAATTTCCACGAGCAACAAACACAAATTCAGCAGCAACAACCTAGCTTGCAGCAGCAACAACCCGGCTTTCGACAACAACAACCCTGCTTTCAGCAACAACAAAGAAATTGTGGCCGAAATTCACTCTGTCCCAATGCCCCGGCGAAACAAAGAAGTTGTCTCAAGTGCCAGGATCAAAATCAATCCATCAATTCGTTTGCTTACAATCCGAATCAGTCAGTGCAGCAAGCAATTCTTCCGCAATTGCAACAATCAATTCAGCAAAGGAATCCTCCAGAACAAGTGCAACCAACAATGCAGATACAGCCAACGATGCAACAACAGCCAGTGGTACAACAGCAACCAATAGAGGAGAACAACTATTGCCTCACCGAAATGCTGGCCGAGGAGCTGAAGAAGCAGATGCTGGAGGCCCAGGCGCAGATTGCCCAAGTGCAGCTTCAGCTGAATAGTGCCTGTGGAGCCACCAGAGTGCGCCAGATGCATGTGCTCACCCAGAATGCCTCCGATGCTCCAGGTTGGGCGCCAGAAACCCAGTTCCTAGGTTCCTTTACCGAAGAACAGGATACAGGCGTTGCTATACCAGATGAAATGGGGCAGAACGGTGGTGAAGAGGATCCCATGAGCTGTCAGGAGTTTTCCTTGCAGTCTGCAGACCAGCAGCCATCCTTCCCCTGCCAAGTCTCGGGTTCCACCAAGTCGAATGCTATATGGTCCCAGCATTCAGCTTCTCAAAACTCACAGGATCCCATGCAGTTTGGCCTGTATCCTGTGCCAGTGGCGATGCCAAATCCAAATACATACTTCGAGCCAGATCCTCAGCAATTTCCCTGTCAGCAGCAACAGCCAGCGTCTTTTCTGCAGATCCAACAGCAAATGGTTCCTTGCCCGCAGATCCAACAGCAATACAGAGCTCCGCCCTTACCGCCACTGAAACCACCTCCTTGTCATCAGAAGCAGCAGCAGCAGCGATTATCCTGCCAGCAACAGCAGCAGCAACAACCCATGAGATCTGGTCAACCGTCCCAATCCAATAAGTGTTCCTGTGCCCCACAATTCTGTCCCAGTTGTTGTTGCCAGCGATATGCCCAAATGCGATTCATGATGCCGCGATGTTGGCCGCGCTGAAGGTTTCCTTTGGACACTCCAACATTTGTAGCGCAACTTACCTTGATCAGACAATATGAATGTCCCATCAAGTTAAGATACCTTACGAATTGAGATCTCCAAATGTACACACATAATTGTGCAATTCTTCCGTTTAAAATTGAGGGCAATCGATGAAGGCAAAAACTCGCCTCCAATAAAGTTTCGATTTTAAGGGTTAGAACTTGAGTTTTTTGTCAGCTGGCAGAGATTCGGAATTTCTATACGTATAAATTCAAAGTTTTCCCAACTTTTAGGCAACAGGAAGCTAAGACTCAGTCGTCCCATTTAGTTCAAATTACAGATTCTTATATTAAAGATATAGTCAGAGGATAAGCCATTCCTCATGCCTCTGCTTTAATCAAGGAATGTGTAATTTTAATCAAATGTACGGCGGTTCGCAGAGACAACTATTTATGCTGTCACCACAAATTGCATTCGTGCTTTTGTAAGAGGGGTAAAACCATGGAGCGATTTGGGGATTCATCGATGGAAATGAAGGATTCAAGATGCCAAGCCTTAGCAAAAGTAAACCCTGGAAAAGTTACTCCTCAAACAGGTAATCGAAAAACGAACTAATTAAATTGCAAATACTAATCATTTGAAGTTTAAAGGTAAAAAGACGTGTAAAGGGATTTGTTCTCTTAGTAACTCTTTGCCAAGCCAAGGAGGCCAAAGAAAAAAGGTAATTTTCCGTAAACCCAAGTACTTAAGATTCTTTTAACATATAAATTTTCAACTAAGGTAGAAGAACTGATGTCTGCCGTAAACTTAAATTCATCTGCATGCTCAACAATGAAGTTATATCCAAAAATGGTATCTCAAAGTATTAAAAGACCTTCAGAAGTAAACAAAAAGAACAAAATAGGTCCTAAATTGATACCAGAATTGGAGCAAGGTCAGAGAGCTCTTGTAAAGGCCAAGCCGAAACGTAAAAAAGTAATTGGTAAAAAGATTATTGCAAGATCAACAGCTGGAAATATTGAACAATGCCCTGATGATGATGGTATTTGGTGAGTATACTTATCTGGTTCAACATTTGTTTTAACGAAACTCTTTAAATCCTTTAGGTTCGAGTGCAATGTACCATTTCGTATAAATATTCCGTTTCCTATTAGTATGAAAAATCTGTTTGGTCCCCAGGCATTTTCAGGCAATAGGAATTTACAGATATTTAAAGCCCTTGTCCCGACCAGAAAGTTCCAGAGAGATAGAAAATCGGAATGTCCTTTTCAATTTACAATGTGTCCTGCTCTACCTTCACCAGATCCAGAATCTGATACTTGCTTCAAGGCAACCAAATTCTCAAAGAAGAAGTTCTGTAGACGAGGAAGAAAGCACTGTCCTTGTGAGATATCCACTCAAACGATTGACGAAGAATCCGACCCTGTTTTATGCTGCCTGGAACAAATCAGAAACCAACTAGCTGACAAATCTGCTGAGAACCAAGAGAAATGCATTTATCGCTGCTTTGCAGAAAAGTCTACAAGTGTTAAAAGTATTCAGAAGCATACAAATAAAACTAATATGGAAAATATAAAGAACTCCCCATCCAAAGAGACTCATCAAGAGATAATGGATAAAAAGGACAATCTAAAAATTTCTAAGCCCGAAAGTATCCAGAAAATATCACCAACGACTTCTTTAAACATTTTGGCGCAACCAAATCCTCAGGTTATGAAATTAGAAACCAAAAAAGGTTTACTTAAAACTCAGTCAAAGTCAGACTCTATACCTTCAGAGGAGCCAAGGATTGCTGAGAAAGAAAAGGATTTAAATTATGCTCCCAAACCAGTTTCAAAGTCAGCCATTTGTTTTTGTAGGCTCTCACAAGTTCTTCATAAATGTACAAGAATAGTGATCCCCTGCTCAGTGTGCCGGTGTCACTGCTTGAACAGATCTCATATGTTGAGGCAATATCCTGAAAAACGCCAACAAGGAAATGAAAGCCAGATACCACCTACAACTACATTTAAAGAGGAAGACGTTGATATCAAACCAAGACCTATCAATTCTATCCAAGAAAATGAATTGCCAGGAAATGATAACCAGGAATTTAAACCTAGTTCAAGCCATCCTCAAGACCCAATATTACATGTCGGTACAGATAGACAGACAGGTAAAATGACTAGTTTGAAACGCGTTCCGGAACAGCCTAATAAAATATTGAAAGATAACAAATTAAAAGAAAACAGCATGCCTAGAGAGGAATATCCTCAACACCACGTCGATAATAGACCTTTAAGCAGCGAAAAAAGTAAGCCTCAACACAAGACTCTACCTAATAATCCCAGTGATGGGGAGAATTATCCAGAATCTTTAACCGAGCTTCAAGGCTCAGAATACTCCTCTCAAAAAGGGCACTCCAATATTAGCAGCAACGAATCCATTTCATCATCAAAAGAATTTCATAGGAGTCATAAAAATATTAATTCAAGTGTTCATGAGTATAGTTCGAAATCAGATAAATCCTTAGAAGGTACTAAATCAAAAAAACAAAAGTCGCATAGAAATGCAAGCAGAAATAAGAAGCATAAACAAAAAAATAATCGTATAAGGTCTGGCAGCGAAACTATTCCCGAAGTCTCGACTAATTTTACTCAAACTTGTAAAAATGATGCAATATGTGAGATAGAAGTAGACTATGATAGCTGTGATAAAAGCGAAAGTGATATCAGTACAAATTCAGATAAAATATCTTCTGAGAAGCGCTTTCGACAGGAAAGAGAACAGACACCCGAAGAACAGAGAGTTGATAATCCATATCGAAGAAATAAAAAGAACTTTGCAGACATGAGCAAGAATTCAAAAAAAATTGAATCTGAGCAAGAAAAGTTGACAGAATCGTTTAGTGTTGACCAGGAATGAATGACATTAAGGCTGGTTCGAGCAATATCACTAGGAACTCGGATGAAATAAGTACCTTAGGAAACTATTCAAACAACAGAGAGTATAGACCTTACTGTGAGATGGACGAATATTCTGAAGAGATTATGCCTAAGAACTCAGAAAGCCAGTTTAAAAATCAATTAAACCATATTCATTATCAATGTCGTAAGGAAAATAGAGAATTGTATTACAAGCAGCGCTCACAATCAGCTCCTGAATGTTGGATTCTTCAATGCTCGCAAAGAAATCAGACGCCACAGTACCAAACACTTATATCAAGAAAGGAAAATTGCACAGAATATACCACATATCCTGAAAACGTACTTGTGCTTCAGGATGAAACTTGTGAAAGCGAATCAAATGAATGTGTACTGGTAATGGATGACAATGAAACTTCAAATACGAGGTGTTGTACGTGTAAAACTCCGGATTATAGTATCAATGCCGACATTTTAAAGCAACTCAGGGAGCAAGAACGGCTTTTTAATCAAGTTCAGGATATTACCATTATTCCCGGAAACAATCAGTGCCCAATTGACTTTGAAATTTCACCCCAAGAACAAGAAAGGTATGAACATTATATAAAAAAAAGCATATAGAATAAATATCTTTAATTCTAGAGATATCACACCTTTAGTGCCCGTTCCTTATCGTATGAATGAGAGGGAGCTGTTTAATGTTTCCCGATCGAACGAATGGTAAAATATGGCCTATTAATTATGAGTACATTTATCAATTACTCTTTTTTCAGGAGAGATCAAGGGGGGAACTTTACTAAGCTTAAACCCAAACAATTTCAAGTGGCACCAAAAACAAATCGGGTTCCTCCCAAAATTTAGTAAATGGCAAAAAAATGGAAACTCCTAGGGAAAGAAACTCGAATACTTCTTTAAGTCGGTCGGAAGACAATTATCCTACAACTTCTTCTTCTTTTAGAACAAAATATAGTAGACAAAAACCCATAACCACTGGGACCCATCGAAAGTCGGTTGAAAAGAGAAATAATCAATTTCAGAATATAAAACAATTGAGTTGTCCAGACTCCCGCAAGTGTCCTCGCAAGACCTTGAGGGATAGTTCTGTTTCTTCATATCGCCATTCACCTCCATTCCAATCTAATGCATCGATAGAAAGTAGGGGTAGACCTAAGACCCCAGGAAATCCATCTTACTCTAGACTTACAGGTTTGCAAAATGACTCAAATGATGCTCCCTGTCACTCTAAATCGATTAGATGTACTTTCAATAGCCGGCAATTTGAAGACAGCCAACAATTACTATTCGAACATAAGAATAAACAACCAAGGAGAGATCAGGCTTATAGCCAAAATGGTTATAGATGTAACCGGAATAACCAAGATAGTCTCCAAAGTTTACGTGATACTGGCATTACCCGATCAAATACCCCAGGCTTAATTTGGACTGAGCCGGATCGAACTCCAAATTTAGTAACTCCCTTGGATGCACCTAGTCTGAACAAATCCATTAAACTCTCAAATGGTACGGTGAGATCGACTGATGTGGAAACTCTGCAAACGGTGACTCTAATGCAACCGCGAAAACTTCGAGACTCTGAAAGTGCGAGGATCAGAAGCCAGGTTACTGGCTTTGAAAACACCGTTCTTATCGAGACAAGAACGCCCTGCAACAGGGAAAATTTATTGCAAGCCTGTGGACGACCTCCTTGTAACTTCCGTCCTCAGCAATATACAGGGGTTCCTCCGAATCTGCACCAAGGATTTATAGTTTCAAAGCCAACAGAGCATTCTATACAACCGCAAACATCTACGAGTGCTCCACAGTATAGGACCACTTTTGACGCAAATTATCTAATAGATCCACGGGATCAGTGGAGTATTATTAAGTCCCCAGCCTCAGCCCCCGTGATGAATTCTCCATTTCAGCAGCATCAGCATCTAAGGAACAACTATCAGCCAACTAATAGTGTATACCATCATTTTCAGGAGCCTGTACATCATCCAGCTGTAAGTTCCAATGGGCTTGAAAATCCTGGCTACTATTCCCAAACTTTGAAAGAAAACATACAAATGCTTCCGGAGGGATTCTATGATCAGACCGTTAATAAATATAATATAACGCGAATGGATTCAAACTTTCAGCCGCCGCCTTTGATACCCGAATTTCTTCAGGCCCAACAGCAGCCTTTTTTCAGACACCCAGCTTGCCCATATAGCAATCAATTTCAACAACAGATGGTAATGGGATCCGCTCCAGACCTCAATCGTCCCTTTATTCCGCCGCAGAACCAATACCAATCTGAGCTGCAAAGTCATCCTTCGTTGTTCTGCCGCCACCAAAGTGTAAAATTGGATGACTTCAGTCAATCGGAATACCAAATTTGATTACTAATTTAAAATAAACGAATAGTTTTTCCAATCAATTTAAAATGAATATGTAGTCGAATATATACCCGTTACTCGTAGAGTAAAAGGGTACAATACTTATCGATTGACCCAAAAAAAGTTTGCCCATCTGGGTATATGTTCCAGGTGCATTAAAAAAGAGTGCGTCTTGTATGGGTGCCTTCCTAGGTACATGTTCCAGGTGCATTAAAAAAGGGTGTGTCCAGAATGTGTCTTGTTTGTTGCATCTGCGTGCATTGCTAAGCGCGTCCAGAATTAGTCTCGATCATGCTGTTTTATCTGAAAATTTTTACCTGAAAATTGTGAACGCCACAGATTTGGGCGGTTTGTGGGCGTTAGAGTGGGCGTGGCATATTCGCGCTGCGCTCAAGGCTACGGAATCTAAATCTGAGATCCGAATTCTCTTTGATATTATTGAGATATTCGCGTTCATACTTACGATTTTTTGAAGTTTGTGGGCGGTTTGTGGGCGTTAAAGTGGACGTGGCAAACTTTAGGAACCACAGTTTTGGGCGGCTTTTGGGCGTTAAAGTGAGCGTGGCACGCTGCTGAAACAAACTTGCGCTGCGTAAGAAGCTCAGAAATCTGCATGCCAAATCTCAATAGCCTAGCTCTTATAGTTTTCGAGATCTCAGCGTTCATTATTATGCTTCTTTAATATTATAAAAACTAAAAAAACTAATATACAATTATTAATGAAGATTGTTATTAATTGTTCTAACATTTAACTAATAATTTCAATAAAAAAAACAGTTGCAAATTTTATCATAATTATTTTCACAATTTACTATATGTTGGTACTCGTAAGTGAATTAATTTTGTCCTAACCTAATAATATTAAGTATGCTTTATATCTTGCAGAATCGCAAAAGAGAGATGGATACACTCTTGTAAACTACGGGAAAGACGTTCCGATTGCTTTCTATTCTGCGACAGAATAGGAATCAAGCCACGATACATTTACATTTATACATTTTTTTGTGTAGGTTACTAAGTTTCATTTTATACTCGAGAGTTTCAAACTATTACCAACGGAATTTTCATATTTATTGCTTTGAAATAATAAGATTAATATTATTATACCCTAGTATATTATTGTTATTAATAACCTACTAATATTGTATTTGGCGCCCAAGTTGTGATGTGAAAGATCTACCTATCATTTGGGTAAAATATCGATAGTGCAAAGCCCGAATATCGGTTTCCCCGTTGCCATCTCTATATATCACGAAAACAACATTTGTTTATATGACTAATTTTAACTTACACTTGTGGACTTGTGAATACACACGCACACGCAGTTCCGAATGAATATGAATGTGGCCAATACGAAAACAATGGGCAACATTGTTGATAAGATAAGATAACTCCCGTTCCCAATGTCTTCGCTGCTCTAATGCACATATATCGCGGTGCGAATGATTCGAATTTGTTCAGCAAGTACGCCGAGAATCGTCAGTAAACAATGGCAACTCACGCCGAGAAGGAGTTCTACCAATTGGTACGTAAACCCGAGGATCCCCACTTCTACCGCCACGAAGATCTGTACAAGTTTATAGATGTTCTATACATATATACAAGTGCATATTCTGGAATGCGTGTGTTGTCATAGGGTAAATGAGCGGATACTTGCAAATGTTTAGACACACCTTCAGACGCCTTTGAATTTGCATAAACATTTCACTATAAGCCAGAAGTCAGCCTTGAACTAGATTGTATAGAGGAGCCCCAAATATTACTGTGTTTTCGCTAGATTTGCAACATCATAGAGACCCATACATGCTAATTTGAAGTTTCTCCTTTGCGGATGGCGGTGACCCAGAAAACTAGAAACTGCAATGAATGTGAATACTATGTGAACTACATCAACTCTTGTCGGTCTTTCAAACTGCAAACAAAGGAGCCTCAAACTTTGTGATTACCGAGTTAAATTTCAGCAAGATAAGGTGTTATTATAATCTTTAGAATGCATATCTTAAGATTAAAGAAGTTTTTTCGTATAAAACATATGGGTCTCAAGGAGAGTTCTGTATTTCAAGTGTTTCATTGTTCGTTCAAGCTATTAAATGTTTGCCACCAAATTCCCAATGTTGTTTGATAGCCCCTCTAAGACCGAATCATATTGCCGATCAGTGAATCACTACTGACGGCTGAAATTCCAATAAAAAATTGTTCAGCTATCGGCCGCCAAAACCCTCCATATCTTCTGAGTCAGTCATTAATTGAATGAATGAAGTTCCACATATGTTTCTCTAGATAACTCCTACAAGTCTTAATAAATGGTGATAACACTTAGTTGAATGGAAATTTATTTTAATATTTCAACTTCCCGTTCCAGAACATCAGCGTATCTAAAGCTTTAAATGGCCTGGAAGCGCCACTTAAAACCAAACATGCCCGCTCCATTATTATTATGATCCACAAGGCCAAGGAGGCCAAAACATTCTGGATGATTATATCCCGGCAGCCTTTGATGCAGAACAGATTTACCGCCTGGAAGTTTTCGCATCTGCTGCACAAAGTCTTGCGAGAGGCCCACGAAAGTTCCATAAGGCACTCGCAGAGCCACAAGAAGATGATCCTGGAAGTGGGAAAAATGTGGGGGCTGCTCCAAGATGACATCGGATGCTGTATACAGGCGTATAGCAAGCTGCTGGCCACAAAGTTAAATTTCCACGACAAAAATCGAATGTTCCCCGGAACCCTGAACATTTCGTTTACCGAACTTTTCATAGCAGTCGATAGGGATTTAAATTACTGGTAAGCTACTCTTTAAAATTGTGCAATTTTGATAACATTAAACTAAAAATGTATGATTTCAGCTTTCAACTGTGTGTGGAAATTTTCGACTACTTGGAGGATATCATTGCGCTGCAGCTGACAATATTTTCTTCCATGGAAAAATACAGAATGTCGTCGATGACACCGCAAGGACAATGTAGATTAGCTCCCATAGTTTGCCTTATTCAGGATTCAAATGCGCTGTATGATTTAAGCGTTCGATTAATGTTTAAACTTCACGATGGTGTACCATACGATGTCGTTTCCGGACACAGAGATCGTTTTCATGGCCTCTTTCTAAAGTTGAAGAGTTTCTACAACAACGTACGACCGCTTCAGTATTTTAAGGACTTAATCACAGTCCCGGAATTGCCGGACTCAAGTCCCAACTTTAAATCCCAGAACGATTTTACCAGCTATGTACCGCCAGTGGTCCATGTTCCGCAGGAGCCCGATCCGGTTGTCGAGGATCTTGTGGATACCAACAACCACGAATCGGAAGCCTTTAGTCAAGCCCAACAGCAGTTAAGCATGCTGGAGGGTATAATAAGTGAAAAAGAGGCTGGCATTGAGGAACTTTCATTTAAATTGGTTGCTCTGCAAAAGAACTTCGATGAACTGCAACAAAGTTACAGACACGACGTTCAGGAGTTGCAACAAACCAATACTGTCCTATCAAATGATCTGGTTTTAGCGAGAGAAATGTGCGCTACCTTCCGGATGCAAAACGATGATCTTGAGATGCAGCTTAACCAGAACCCAATCCTCCTACGTAAGTTACTTTCAACCAAATAAGTGCCAAAATTAAAATACTTCTTTTTTAGAAAAAGCTATGGAGGAAGAGGAAAAGCACAAGCTATCCTCGGAAAAATTCAATAAACTCAAAGCTCTTTACACGAAAATTCGGGATGAGCACATTCAGTTGTTAAGAGAGGTATGAGTAACGATAACATTTTCAGTTCACTTTTTGTAAAGCCATTATTTTCAGCAAAGTGATTGCAATAAATCCCTAAATAAAGAGAAACAAGTAAATTCACAGCTTTTGTTGGAAACAAAAGAACTTACCAACGAAATTTCCAAAATTAAAGGAAACGTTGAGGAAAAAGAGAAAGTTAACTTAACTCTGCAAAAAAAATTAGAGGAGCACAAGGAGAAATTATTTCAACTCGAAGTGACCAAAAACGAAATAAAGGAGAAGTTTGATGATGTGGTTAAACAAAAGGAAATTCAAGAACTAGATATTAATTCCACCTCTGAAAACTTGCGGTTAAATTGCTTAAAAATCGAGGAACTTAATGCCACTCTTAATGACACCAAGGAAAAACTATCCAACGCCGAAAGCCAAATAAATGCAAAGATCATAGAAATAGAAAATATTTCAAAAGCTTTTGAAGCAGAAAAGGCAGCGCTTTTGACCAAGATTGAGCTACAAAATGTCGAAAGTAAAAGCAGTATTGATGCTCAAAACGCTCAACTGCAACAAACGATAAGTAACTTGGAGCAGAGAGATAAAGATTTTAATGAAACAAAATTAAGCTCACCACCGCCGAAAACCAAATTAGCTTGAAGACCATTGAAATTGAAAGCAATCTAAAGCCTTTGAAGCGGAAAAGGCATTGCTTTTAACTAAAATCGAGAAATTGAATCTGGAGCACAAAAACAACAGCGATGTAATAAATGCTCAATTGCAACAAACAATTACTAACTTGGAGGAAAAGGAGTCTGCACTGCAGGTAAATAAATGAAAAACAGTTCTTATAAAAAGTAGTAACATTATTTTATCAACAGCAAACCCTGGAAACTGTAAATCAACTAAGGCAGGACAATATTTCAGTTGGTCAACGTAATGATGATTTGCAAAGCAAACTCACCATTGTTGAGGACAAACTAACCCAAGCAACACAACAAATTGAATCCGTTACAAGTTCGTATCAATCTTGTAGCACCAATTTAAGCGAACTCCGAAAATTGGTAATCAAAACTGTGAATGAGATCTGCAACTCAAAGCTAAGCGGTTCAGAACAACAACCATTGGATGCGGTTCCAAGCATAATAAGTGAAATGGATATTCTTTTAAACAAGTTTAATACCTCATCCGCTGCAAGCTATACAGCTTCAACAGAAGGATTGAAGGATGTTATGTATTTGGGCTACGTATTTATAAAGTTATACGATCAGTGTGATGTTATCTACAAAACAACGACAGCAATTGAGACGGGTCAGGGTAAGTTAAAAAACCAACTTATAAAAATTGATAGTATGTGATTAAAAAAGGTTTTTTTTATTCTTAGAGATTTTCACGAAAACATCCTTGATATGTACAGATGTCTGTCGATTGTTTCAATATTTGTTAAACAATGAAACAAAAGATCAGGAAAGGCTACATATCATATCTGATATAGAAACAAAGCTTAAGGATGTTCGAAAGTTAATTGAGAAAATAAAGGCCTCCTTTGAACAAAAGATTGATCTGGACAAGCTTCTCGAGATAGAGCTTCGCGAAATGGATGCTGCCATTGATGATGCAGCCTCAAAGATAACAGATTTACTCGCAAAGGCTCGGGAGAAGGACAACAAAACCAATCTGGAGGTGAACGGAAAAATTGTGGACGCATGTACAACACTGATGGAATGTGTCAAGGCCTTAATCCAAAAATCACGTCTTCTGCAACACGAAATTGTGGCATCCCAAAAAGGTAGTTACAAAATAATATACGAATATTCCCAGAAGCTTACAAACTGGATTTTAATATTTCAGGAAATGCCAGTGCCAATGAGTTCTATAGGCGAAACAGTCAGTGGTCGGATGGCTTGATATCCGCTTCGAAAATGGTGGCGAAGGCAGCCAATTATCTGGTGGAGGCCGCGAACAAAGCCATTGAAAGTGAATCTGGTAAAAACTTTGAACTAATAGTGGCGGCCCAAGAAATCGCGGCCTGCACAACCCAAATGGTTATAGCGAGTAAAGTCAAGGCGGAACGCAATAGTCAAAAGTTATCCGACTTAACGAAGGCCTCGCGAAGTGTAACACAGGCCACAGGAACTCTCGTGGCCACCGTTAAGGATTGCAACTCCCAACTGGAACAGCAAAGTGAAATAGAACTTTCAAAACTAACGCCATCACAAATCAAAACGATGGAAATGGAAATCCATGTTAAAGTACTCGAAACCGAACAAGCTCTTCAAATGCAGCGACTAAAACTCTCGGCGTTTAGGAAAGAGCATTACAAAAATGCCGATTATTAATTAGCATATTTTTAAACCTTACTAACTTTACAAATATTATTTTTATATTAGTGCACGACATGACAAATAATATATGTACACTACGGTCATTTCATCCGAAAATGCTTCCGTAATATTATTTGGTTAATGATTCCATTTTGATCACTTTTGGATCTTCGGTATTTATTAAACCATTTCTTTTCGAAGTGCCCATTTACCTAGCATTCAGAAAATATGGGATTACAAATTCTAAAGTGTTTATTTTGCTTACTAATTGGAAAATAAAATAGCATCTATTGCCAAAGAAAATAAAATGTAAAACTTGTTGTCAAAAGGTTTATGTTTATTATCACGAACCGGCTTATTGCATTTTATAAAACGGCATGTTCACGTTCATCAAAGACACTTTTAGCGTAGTTTATCTAAAAGAAACAAGTATGAAATATATGTGATAATCATTTCAAAATTTGTAAAAGTAAATAAAGTTATATGCTAATATGTATCTTGAGAAGGTTTCACTTACGCATCTTGACGCAGCCTCTGCAACTTCCTCAGATCGACAGCGTATCCTCGGCCTGGTAACTTTCGGACGATTTGTGGATATCTCAATGTAGTGGCTAGCCGACGCCCTACTACTCGTAGATGGCGTCGTGCCCACATTCGTCACCACAGGATGGCACGATAGTATCTCACTTACATGACAATCAAACATAATAGTTGGGATGCCGTCGCTCAATGAAAATATTCGTACGTATTCGGTAGAAACCAGCAGGCGCAATCTAGCCTCTTTATCGTTCCAAAGATTCGCTTCGTATGAAATGATCTTTTCCGAAAAGTTTTTTTGATTGATAAGGTAAAGATATTGTTGTCCCTTGCTTTGACGATTGGAGTACAAAGGTAGAAGACCGCCCGGAGCACCAGTCACACATCTGGGAAGCCTTTTCCTGTCTGGAGCGTTTCTGTGACTATCCCGGCTGGTTTCTCTGACCGCACTTGCAGTTTCCGAAGCCAAGTCCAACACACCAATGATGGGTTTGGTCACTGTGCCCACCAATCCCTTGCCCAGTCCACTTAGGAAGCCAGGCACGCCATCCGCTTGGGCACCATCGTAAGTATGTCTCACTATACTCGTTACTCCGCCCAGCAATCCGAAGCCGAGACCTTTCAGACCCGCTGCAAGGTGACCTCCGGATGTATTGGTTTGAAGTTCCAAAATTCGTTGTCTCGTCTCATTGTCGTGGTCATCCAGCACAACTTTCCCCAGGCTGTCGGACAGCGTTTCCGTTAGCTTTGCCGTCGAGTTTGATATGCCATGCGTAACATTTTTCACCAGACTCTTGACGGAGCCCTCAAAAATCAGTCCCGAAACTCCTTCAGAAAGATCGTTGGCAAAGCCCAGTGGATTTCCAAGAAAATCGACACTGCCCAAAATTGCAGCCGCATGCCATTTGACTTGGTTTATGTAGTGCTTTTTCATTTCCTTCAGGTAAACATCCATTGTCTCGAAGTGCAATCTATCGGAGTACCTGTCTAGCTCAATGCAGGCATCTTCGAATTTGATTAAAGTGAGTCCAAGTGCCTTTTTCGTTTCGTGCAGTTCCACCGGCAGCTTGGATGAAGTGAATGCTGAGAGCCGAACCTGAATTGAAAAATTGCATCATTATAAGATCATAAGATATATGTTTCTCAGACATACCTGTGTTGCGCCAATGCTTAGATTCTCAAAATAGAATCTTTTCATATCCTGCAGAATTGGCTTATCCTCAGAGTTTTCAAATTGGTATTGTACACTTAAGTTCTGTCGGTTTATTTTGCCATATCCCAGAAATGAGGCCACCTTTAGTATAAGCTTCTCCTCCAGATTCGCAGTTAGGGGCTTCAGGTCCAGCGTTAAGTACTTAAATATGATAGCGTTCTTGTTGGGGCAAGGTAACATTTTAAACTTTAGCACGACTGCATTTTTCGTTGGGTCCTGGTCATTCGAAGTTTGCGTATGTAACGCTATTGGACTCGCCGCATCCAACAACTGATTATCGATTTGTATATACGAGATGTTCAGATCTAAAGAATTCTCCAACCCACTTTGCACTATATCACAATGGATGTGGTCAAGGCTTATAAACATAATTTCCTCGCAAGGCTTTCGAGCTATGAATGAAATACCGATTCCTTTAACGAGCTCTATATTAATCTGAAAGTAAATTGTTAGAAATTAAAATTGTGTTATACTTTAAATTATTTCTTAGTATTACTTACCAGATACTCATGGACGAATGCGACTTTCCCGTTATCCGTAATTTGCCTATTGTTCAGAGAAGCATGCATCCATAATAAATCGGGTGTAAGGAATACTGAATTTTGTTTAATTTTAATATCACATATTTCGATCGTGGAAATGGGTCCATCCATTCTTGTTGAAAGCTCTAGTTGACCCGATCCAGGCCTTAATTTCTGTGCCACAATATGCTGTCCAATCGGTATGTATTTCTTACTCGACTGTGACTTGTTTTCAGTTCGCCCCACAACTGCTTCATAGTCGGGCTTCAAGCCGCTCTCTCCGAAACGCGACTGAAATGTAGAATTTATTAATAAATAATTAAAAAAGAAATGGTGAACAGATCACTTACCTGAACGCACATATTGGCATGACACATTAGTCGGCCATTCTCGAATCTCCAAGTCTGCGTGGTAGCCCTTTGTTTATTGGGTGTTCGAACTACCAAACTGGTAAACTCCATGGGATTTGGAGCCTTTTCTAAATCCAGAACAAGTCGCACTGCATTCGCATCGTTCGTTTGAATCGGAGGAGTGGATCCTTCATGTTCCAACTGACCATTTGAGTTCATCAGCCACAGTTGGGAGCGATCACCCGAGTTCTTTTCCACTATCACAACCTTCTTACCACGTACGCCCAAAACCAAATGTCTGTGTACGTTTTCCTCCTCATTTGATCGCTCGAAAGTGCCATGAAATGCAATGTAAATGAAGTTGGTGTACGTCAATGTTTTCTTTACATTGCGTGTGTTGTTGATTGGAAACTCTATCATGTTTCCGCCGGGAGCCTCCATCAGCAAAGTCTGCGCTCCCAAGGGATCATCCATAACATAAGATAGGGAGGACTGTGGTCTAACTGGCGTAATCCAAACGGGCTTGGATCGCAGCTGTGAGAAATTGATGACGACTTCCGAACAATTGTCAATTCGAATCGGTGGTGGTAAGGTGCGAGCGTCCGTAAATAAAAGTATGAAAGTGGCATCCTTAGAGATGATCTCCAATCGAAGGAAAAACATTTCTCCCCACTCGTTTCGCACATTGATATACAAGCTCTGCACATCATTTATGGGAATTCCCTTCGACCAACAGCAACACTCTATCTCCGGAATTCTCACGCAAATAATCTGCTCTTGATCCCAGTTGGGCCAATGGAAGGCGAAGTTGCAATCTATAGGTGCTGAAATAATTTTACGCGGATCGGGGCGGTCCTGAAATAATAATAAAAACTTGTATGTAACAGATATTAATTTAAATGTTAGCATTACAACTCACATAGTTAACAATATCGCACAGTTGCATGAACTCCAGTTTGTAGCCACTTCGATTGTGCAAATGGAATCTGGGTGACAGAGTTACGAAGGTCGTACAAGCATACAATCCTCTTCCCCTTCTAACGCTAATGCCAATCGCATAGCTTCCTCTGGTATTTTCGGCTCGAATTCCCGGTCAGCTAAGTCCTTATGCGTGCTAAAGCTTTTGCACCACTGAAAGATAGATAATACAAGTTGAATGATAAATAATTCATAGATCTAGCTAACTTACCAAGTTGTTAGAGCCAAAAGCACTACCCAATCGTAGGACTAGGGCTGGTGATCCTTCCTGATCGGAAAACGAGAACATTAGCGGGGCCACTTGTCGCGCCGTCTCGTGCTCCTCAAACTGTCCTGCCGCTGTATTATTGGTTCCTTCTTGTTTACAAATCAGGGGCAGTCCTGTCTTGTTGATTATCCAAACAGGAGCACTGATATAGAGTTCCATGCCCTTGCCTTGAATCGATTGTATAGATACGCGCAAGTGCAACTCCCTCTTCTTGATATCAACCAACTTCAATTTCGGCTCTATAACACCCTTGTGGCTTACGGGAATCTTCAGTTGACCAGAGAGTTGAAAGTTGTCCAGGGTGATGCTCAAGTTCAGGGGCTGGCATATGTTAACGTTGTAAATATTTGCACTCTCCGATGAGTTTATTCTTCCGGTGGCGTGCTCATGGATCTTGAACATCAGATCGCAGCAGAGCATGTTGTTTATCTTCAAAGGTGGCAACAAAGTTATCTTGTGGCCCGGTAAATTTTGTTCCTTAGAGTGGTAGATTTCCCTGCTTATGTTTACTAGTGTGTACAGTTTACTCTTGGTATTGTCATAGCCAACGAGGAGCTGTCGAGTGTCGTCCTTTCCGCATTCTTTCCACAAAATTTCCTCGTTACTAAAACCAGTGTCGTCGTAAGCCTCGTTTCACTTGTATTATGTGCCACATGCAACGACGCTTCGATGAACTTCAGCGGCAAAGTTAATTCGTCGTTGGGTCTTATTACACTAATCGCGGTGAGTCCATCGCTGTGTGTGCTTTCATGACATCTTCAGAACACGTTACGATCCATCTTGTTTATCACCCCCAAGAGGACTTTACTTTTATCAGCTTTTGGGCAGATCCAATCAATGAGATATCGAAGACTATCCTGCTTTTTGTTAAGAACTGCGAATCCAACTTAGTGGTTCGGAAAACACACCAACTTTGTCCACCGATATTGGTCCAATTAATGTCCAGCCATGGATTTGTACAAAAATCTGATGTAAATTCAATTGGTGCGAGTGTACGTGTCTCAGCTTACTCTTTTGGGTGAAATCAAATGTTTTGGTTTCGTTGGGCTGCACAGAATACCAGTTCTTGATCAATTCAAACTGGTGTAAGTCGGAACATGTTAAATCCCCAAGGGGAGCATAAATCGGTTTGAAAAGAAGGGGTGTTCCGCTGAGGTTCTGCAGGGCGAACGGAATAAACGGAGAGCGCTGCCTAAAGTTCTTGGCTCCATTGTCATTGAAGTCGTTTGTCCAGTTCTTCAGAACCATGTGGAAAAGCTCTATGAATGTGGAGGTAACATTTAACTTGAGCATCTGCTTGCTGGATATCCCAATCTCAAATCTTTTTTTACTGTCCAAGTGACCCTTGGTGTACTTCCACTTTAAGTTGGACTCCCACGTCTCTGCCACCGGTTCCCATCCGCTAAGACGACGATTGTAATAGTTTACGGAAGCTTCGGTGTCTATATTACCCAGGCTATA